GAGATCACCGTCAGCTTCTTCCTTGTTCTCTTGGGATGGCAATAGTGCCCATCTGAGAGGTGCCAAAGCTGAGCTCCAGTGAGAGCCAGTGTGGTGTAGTGGTTAAGAGCGGTAGTCTCATAATCTGGTGAACCGGGTTCGCTTCCCTGCTCCTCCACATGCAGCTGCTGGGTGACCTTGGGCCAGTAACACTTCTCTGAAGTCTCTCAGCCCCACTCACCTCCCAGAGTGTTTGTTGTGGGGGAGGAAGGGAAAGGAGAATGTTAGCCACTTTGAGACTCCTTCGGGTAGTGATAAAGCGGGATATCAAATCCAAACTCTTCTTCTTCTTCTTCCAGCTTAAAAAAGAAGAAGTCCTGATTCGGATCCTTAGACAAGGCAAGCAACCTCATGCATCTCTGAGAAGGCTGAACCAGTGTCACCTGTTCATGCCTGAATTGGTGTCTCTGCAACCTGGGCTGCCGTGCTGGCTCCTCAGAGGTGGTTGAGATGGGCAGTGTGATCCCTTCTCCTTGAGAAGTGTGACTGGGCCTGGTTTTTGACCATTCCAAAGGTGGAGTTAGTGGGGCGATAGGAAAAGTAGATGAGCCACAACGAGCCTCTGAGAGCTCCACGGGGGAAGCCTGTGCCTTGAGCTGGCAGGAGAAGAGATGGGTCAAGGAATATACATACACTGCCAGGACCTTTCCCAGAATCCTCTTATTCAGGGTCTCCTGTAGACCACTCCTCCTGACCTGGACTGCGCACACAGAGACACATAGGACCCCAGACCCTCCAAGTGTCTCTATTTTCCAGGGACAGTCCCAGATTTACAGAAGCCGTCCAGGTTTCTGATTTGATCCCAGAATGTCCCGCTTGTCCATAGGACATCCCTATTTCCATCAGAGAAACGTTGGAGGGTATGGAGTTATGTGACTCCCGAACCAAGGAGATAAGTAACTATACAACCTTTAGAAGACACCTGAAGGCAGCTCTGTATAGGAAAGTTTTAGGGTTCTGTATGTCTTCTTTTTCCATGACACGTCCTCTTTTTCATGGGTAGAGTTGTCATAGCGATCCATAGTTAAAAGTAGAAGTTGGCAAATGTGTCCTCTTTTTTTTGCTCTTCAAAATATGGCAACCCTAGATGTTTCGTTATGTTTTTATATATGTTGGAAGCTGCTTGGTGAATTGTTGGAGGGGATGGGACCCAGGGCACTCTCATGTTACAGCTTCTGTCGTGGTTTGAGATGGAGGAACAGCAGCCCGTGGTTGTAATTACAAGCCTTATCTGCCAATTCACAATTCAAATCCTTTTGTCCAGGTTTCCTGCTTCTTCTGAATGCCGTTGTCATGAGGACTTGTCGCAGATAACATGCTGCTTAATGCTGCTTGCGTCCAGCTGCCCTGGAGGGGAATAATTCCTTTTTCCACTGCAGCTTGGGGTCAAAGGTAGTGGCTTTCATTTTAATTAAGCAGCCTAGGGGGAAATAAATCAATTCTGCCCAAACTAAGTTGCAGTTTAGTTTTTGCTCTGGAGCGGCAAACCCTGAGAAGTCAGATAGGGAGTGATATGGGATAACTTTGCTGAAAGCAAGGGTTGTATACCCTCAAATCCAGGGGCTGAATGTTGCCCTCCAAACACTTCTATCTGGCTCCAGGTCACACATATTTCACTGGCTACACCCCTCACTACCTCCTTGAATGGCTTTGCTTAGCTAGATAGATCATGTGCTTGAACCCTGATCATGCCTCTGGCTTCCCTGGATGTAGGATAGAACCAGGTGTGCGAGTTTGTGTAGAAGCTAGCCTACTGTACAGAGGTAAAATTGGACTTCCGGGGTGGCGCCATCAGTAATGGCGGACTCCCTCTGATCCGGAGGGACTGGCTCTACGGAAATCGGGTCTGTTCCGCTACGGCGAAGCGGGGACCCTTTAAAAAATCACAGGCGGGTGAAGCCTGTGACCGTGGGACTCGGCGGGCACCTTTCGCGCCCCCCCCAATTTGTAAAGGAACCCAATTACGGGCTCCAGAGCGAAGCGGGGCAAGCGGCGCGGTGCTGAGAGTCAACTGCTTCTTCCGTGGAGCGAAGCCGCACAGCCGTTACCAGAGAGCGCTACCTTTTTCCTGTGACAATCTGGCTACAAAAACAACTACCCGTGAGTAGGTTAAATTTGGACAATTGGACTCTAAACAACGACCCGTGAGTAGAACGGAAAATTGGACTAAGAAATTCCTTTTAATTTGGCACTGAAGCGGGAAGGTCTAAACAGGAAGTCAGCCTTCCGCTTTTTGTAGAAAGATTAAAGCAAAGACATGGCAAGCTAGAGTTTAGAAAACTGTTTGTAAAGGATCAACTTTCATCATCTAAAATTACTGAACCCCCTTTGGAAGCAGGAGAAGAGGGGGGATTTTTTCTGGACTGTTTAAACCTGCAGAAGAGTGTGTAAAGAAAAGAAATTTTCCACCATCTTGAACCTGGGAGCGGGGTGTCAGGACAGACGTTTTCGGAGTTCATTGACTATAGACAAACGTTTTTGACAGACAGTTAAAAGAAGAGAAACATAGTGATTCCATTGTTCTCCTTCGCAGTTAAAAGGAACAAAATATTGACAAAATATCTGAAAAAGGAAACTTTGTTGTTAGATCTGCTTTAAAAAAAAAAGAGAGATGGATACAAATAGAAGTTCTTCCCCTAGAGGGAGCTTGTGAAACTGTTATTAAATCTGAACTGGGGAGCTTTGCAGCTGCAATAGATTAAGATCGTGGGATCAGACTTTGACCTTGCACAACAATGTACTTGGAGGCTCTGGTGCGTGCTTTCTGCAAGACAAGTGCTTTATTGGAACAGTTACATGAGAAGACGGATTTGATGACTGTTGCGATCAGAAATTTTGGACAGGTAGTGGGTATCTATATAGAACCCACTCAGGAATCAATTCAGGAGTGTGCTCTGACAGATCAGATGAGGGAGGAGGTTGTGGCTGGACCCCGGGAGGCAGAGATGGAGGGAACTGTGGCCCAGCAGGAACATGAGTTGTTGGATCTGACGAATGAACCTGGAAAAAGCCAGATTTGGAGAGATAGAGTCTTGTTTGGCTTGGAGATGGGGGGCTGGATAGACCCCCCTATGCAGGGATGTTTTGACTTTTCAAGTCTGGCGTTAGGCCGGGAGGAGTTTGGAGTTGTGGGGATCCTCAACTTTGGAGGGACCTTGAAACATGCTTTTAAATACCTCGTGGAGTTCAGTGTGGACTATGGAAAAGGGGCTGATCTGTCGAGAAGGGACAAAAATATTGTCAAGCTGGAGTCTCCACGAGTGAAAGGAGCAGAAGACAAAGTAAAGTACAGGTATAAATATGAAGAAGATCTGCGGAAGGGATATGGAAGAGACTTAAGGGCCTCGGACATAAGGTTACCAGGTTAATGAACTAGATGGATGGGATAGAAAGGACTGACAAAACCCGAGACAAGGAGGAAGAGACGTTGGATGAAGATTGGAAGAAAGTTTTAAAAATTCTACTTAGGAATGTTTTCTAAAATTAATGAGTATTAGAAAAATGTTGGAATGAAATTATTTGGCTTTAGCAGAAATGTTAAAAAGAACTATGTAAGAATATGTTATGGTTATGAGAAATTGGTATAAATAAGATTTAAGTTTTAAGTTTTAGGGTTTTTATGGTAAGATAAGGTTAAAATAGATTAAGGTAATTTCATGACAGAATATTATGAAAAATGGAAAGGATTTGCTGTGACAATCAACAACTAGAATACAAAAAAGGGAGGTGTGAGGAGGTTGATGAAATAAGGTAATGACAGTTAAGGATTTGGGAATATTGGATCTGTTTTTAAATCTTTGTGGTTTATTGTTGCTTTCTGATTTTGATGTGCTATGTGTTTTGTTTTTGCTTTTTGATTTTGACTTTTATCGATTTGTATTGTTTAATTGCTATTTGTTTCTTTCTTGTTTTTTCCTTCTTTTTCTCTTTGTTTTCTTTGTAATTTTAAAATTCTCAATAAACATCATTTTTAAAAAAAACAGAGGTAAAATTTGCATTCGTTGCTCCACCCACTTTTGTCACTGGCCCCGCCCACCACTGCCACAAGACAAAGATGCCTCCTGTTTGTGGTTTAGGGGCAAGGTTGGGCTCAAGGCCAGTGCCAGACTTATAAGCTAAACAAGCTGTAGCTTAGGGCCCCACTCTCTTGGGGGCTGCCCAAAAAAATAAAGGGGGAAAAACTGGATGTACATTTCCAAAATATGAGATAAAAAAGAAATAAAATCTACATACAGCGGCAGTGTTTTGTGTTGTGTAGGGTCCTATGATGTAAGTAATGGGCCCCACCTGCTAGCCTTCTCCCTCAAATACCACTGGTTTGCTCATTTCTGTATAAAGGGTGCCTACATTCTGCATGGACTGGTTGCAGGGCAACATGTGCAAATGGCTTTAGATACCTATTAGGTCCATAAATTACCATATAGCATATATTCAACACAATAAACAGCAACAATTTGTTGTTGACTAAGGACAGCTGGACATAGAAAGGGCCCCATTACCTTCAGGAGCTTAGGGCCTCATCAAACCTCAGTCCGGCCCTGCTCAAGGTATGTGTTTTGGTGGTGGTTCATGGACTCATAGAATTATAGAGTTTGAAGGGACCCCGAGGGTCATCTAGTCCAACCCCCTCCATTGCAGGAATCTTAGCGAAAGCATCCATGGCCTCTGCTTAAAAACCTCCAGGGAAGGAGAGTCTGCCACATTATGAGGGAGTCCATTCCACTGTCAAACAGCTCTTACTGTCAGAAAGTTCTTCCTGATGTTTAGTCAGAATCTCCTCTCTTGTCATTCGAATCCATTGGTTATCTAATATATGTATCTGCATATATTTGATTAGTGCTGTGTTCACCTATTAATCAAGTCCCAGGAATTTCTATTCAAAGCCATTTTGGCATGTAAGCAGTACATCCATTTATTATCATTATCTTTCATTGGGCTAGTGGAGCTCGCTTGGAGCGGAGGGACGGCTGCGATGGTAGGGCATGAGACTCTTCATCTCAGGGTCGTGGGTTCAAGTCCCACGTTGTGTGAAAGATTCCTTCATTGTATCAATTTGCTTTTTTCGTTGAACTTTATGAGGCTTCTGTTGAAATCTACAAATTGATACAATGAATAGTATACCTTATTTATTCAAAAGTACAGCTGGTTTACGTTTTGTGTGTTTATTGACTGGTTGCACAAGCATTTCTGTTACTATTAAAAGGTAAAGGGACCCCTGACCATTAGGTCCAGTCGTGACCGACTCTGGGGTTGCGGCACTCATCTCACTTTATTGGCTGAGGAAGCCAGCGTACAGCTTCCGGGTCATGTGGCCAGCATGACTAAGCCGCTTCTGGCGAACCAGAGCAGTGCACGGAAACGCCGTTTACCTTCCCGCCAGAGCGGTACCTATTTATCTACTTGCACTTTGACGTGCTTTCGAACTGCTAGGTTGGCAGGAGCAGGGACCGAGCAATGGGGGATCTCACCCCGTCGCGGGGATTTGAACTGCCGACCTTCTGATCAACAAGTCCTAGGCTCTGTGGTTTAACCCACAGCACCACCCGCGTCTGTTACTATTATGTACAAGCTATTTACATTCCTTCTATATCTTTCCAACACGGTATAATCTCAGTCTAGTAATTAACAATCCTGACACAGCAAAACTCACGGTATCAGCAGCACACCTTGTCTTGCTTCCAACCTTGTTGTCAGCGTGTGTGCTGACAGCGTGTGTGCGTGTATTTTCCTTGTGCGGAAATTGCAGCCTGTAATTGCAGCCATTCCTACACACTAAAGAAAAATTCTGGAACCTTCTTTAAAGCTTCCAGGAACTGTTATCTGTTTCTTAAAGAATGTTTCCCTAACAGGTCTTCTCAACACCCCTGCAGTGTCTGAGATCAGTCCCTCAGTCGCGGCAGATTTTTGTACAAGGTTCACAGGAGAGACTAGGCTGTTCCTCCCCACTCCCACCCCCAACCTCCCCTCATGACAGTGACAGCAACTGCGTCTTAGGAATTCTAATTAAATTGAGAGCATATTTAAACCGTTTTTCCAAGGACTACTTACCAAGGAGCAAGAATATCCAGGGCATATTAGCCTGTCGGATTTAATAAATCTTCAGCGCCGTGGCTGTGGGCCAGCACCAGTGCATAATCTTTACCAGCGCCATTTAATTAGGACTGAGTGTTGCTCTGTAAACCTATTCTTTGTTCCTCTGAAACAGGGAGAGAGAGGTAAGAGGCTTGGGAATTAATTGATTTGTTGCAATGGGTCAAGGGCCACTCCCTTTCAGATGTTAAAACCAGACTCTTGTTGAATGGGAGGTGGCATAGATCCATACATGAATGAGACGAGTACAGTTTCTAAACCTTTGCAATGGAGACAAAGCCTGTGCCTTGGGTGTCTTGACTTCCTGTTGGAAACGATCTCTTGGAATCTCTTTCAAGTCCTCACCATCCTCTTGATCAGGGGTAGGCAACCTAAGGCCCAGGGGCTGGATGCGGCCCAATCGCCTTCTCAATCTGGCCCACGGACTGTTCAGGAATCAGTGTGTTTTTACATGAGTAGAATGTGTCCTTTTATTTAAAATGCATCTCTGGGTTATTTGTGGGGCATAGGAATTCGTTCATTCCGCCCCCCTCAAATATAGTCTGGCCCACCACATGGTCTGAGGGACAGTGGACCGGCCCACAGCTATAAAAGGTTGCTGACCTCTGCTCTTGATCATTCTGGTTGCCCTTTTATGAACCACTCACCCAAAAAGACAGGAAAGAAATTTGATTCGGTGGGCATTAATTACGTCACACTTTCTGAAACTACGTGAAAGCTGAAACATAGCCATCCTTCAGAAGTAAAACCGAAACATCGCCGCCCGACCCCACCCCCACCCACTATGGCCCCCTCCACCTCTCCCCCCCTTTCTTCCTAATGTAACACTAATGTCTCAACAAATGAAACTGACCTGTAGAAAATGTAACTTGAAAAAAGAGGCATTGCATATACTTTTATAAACCAAGAAATCTTTAATACAGAATAAAAATAAAAGAATCTGCACCTCTCCATTCAAGTCGTGTGTGTACAAAAATGCACGGTGTGTGTATAGGAATACCTGCATTGGTGAAAATGCACTAGCCTAGAAAAATGCATTGCATTGGGGAGAAGTGCTCTGCAAAATGAGCACATTGGGCAAAATTACAAGCGTGTGCATACTAGTAAAATCTACACTCAAGTGCTGATGAATTTACATGAGTGCTTTTTTAAAAAAAAATAAGTAAATAAATAAAGTGCAAAGTGATGTGGAAATGTGGAGAAAGGGAAAAATAAGGAACAAAATCTGTCAGTCATCCCTTGTAGAACACTCCACTAAAAACTGTTGCTCCGTTTTAAATCAAAGGCTTCCTTTCTCTCCTGCAGCAACACCTCCTGCCTTCATCCACCCTTTCTTCCCAGTGCCCCTGAACCCAATTTCTTCAATGCTTTACTAATGCAACCCTGCCATTGCAGAAATGAGATGAGTGCAGCAGGGTTGTCCACAATACATCACAAGTCTTTTCTGTCATTATGTATCTGATGGGCCCTGTTGAAAAAAAGGGAAAGCTCTCCCAGAAAACATATCACTGATGTTCTTGTATATGTATTGCTTGAGATGGGGATGGGAGAATCAATGTTGCAGGCTCTATGTCCCTTTAATCTCTCTCTGTGTGTGTGTCCTCAGAGAGCCACAAATTCTCTTTGCTCCCCTTCTGCAGTTTTACAGCGAGATGTTTTCATTCCCAACCTGTTTTCTCTTTCTCAGCTGATCAACTCAGTGGAAAACGTCGTCTCAGTTCAGGGTCATATGAGTCAGCTGCATTGTACAGATCTGCAGGCAGTCATGGACTGGAGTTGACCTAGAACAGCCTTCCCTGATCTGGTGCCCTCCAGACATTTTGGACTCCAATGCCCATCAGCCCCAGGCAGGATGGCAAATGGCCTGGGATGATGGGACCTAGAGTCCAACAACATCTTGAGGACAGCCCATTAGCCCATTAGCTGCCCTCAAGATGTTGTTTGACTACAGTTACTCTATCGCATTGGCCTCTGTGTGTGTGTGTCTCCATAGAGAGCATCAGTTTTTTTCAACAGTCGTGGCCCGGCTAATTTTGCTGTGATGTACCTAACATGGAGCCAGGCTCTCAGTTTCCACTGGAGTTGACAAATCAAAGCATGCAACAGAGTCAGCCTTGGGTAATATGGTGCCCTGTGCAAGACCAAACTTTGATACCTCCCCCAGCCCTTGAACGACCTTCCCAAAGCTGGTACAATGCTCTGGCAGGGTCTTAGTGCTTCCCTACCTCATTTCCACAAGTTGGGAAAGTGCTAACTAGGCTTTGGGAAGGAGGGAGAGGACTCTAGGACCCTGTCAGAGACTTGTGCCTCCTTCTCAAAACCCAGTGCCTTCCTTACAAGGCTTTGAGAAGACTCCTCCACTCAGTTCAGCACCTGACTATATGGGAAAGCATTGTCTGCTGCTCAGTCTACAGTGGCTCATTCCCACATGCAAGCATCCATCTCATGCCGCAGCCCTTGAGAATTAACAGCACATGCATAAGCTCAGGGGTTAGAACATCAGCCTTGTATGCAGAAGGTCCCAGGTTCAACCCCGCCCCCATGGCATCTCTGGGTGGAGCTGGGAGGGACTTCCTGCCTAAAACCCTGCCAGTCAGTGTAGACCAGCCTTTCTCAACCTTGGGTCCCCAGATGCTCTTGAACAACAACTCCCATCAACCCTGATCACTGGCCACGCTGGCTAGGAATGATGGGAGTTGTAGTCCAACAATATCTAGGTTGAGAAAGGCTGATTTAGACATCCTGAGTTATATGGTCCAATGAGTTTGAGTCAACATAAGGCAACTTCCAACCTTCATTTTTAACTTTGTAAATTTATTTTCTGTTGTAAATTGCTACAGGTTACGTTGTATGATTTTAGATGCATGAGTATTCTCTGTCGTCCATTGTAATGGCCTCTGTCTTTATACAATAAAATGGACTGACCAACTTTCACACAAATAAGCTTCCTATCTTCCTAGTTGCTTGCCCCACACTGAATTTTTTTATTGATAAGAAACAAATTGGGAAACAAAAAAGAAAAGAAAGAAAAGAAAACTATATCTATCCATATTCTGTATTTTTTTGAAGAAGAAAAACTATACAGCACTGAAATATTTAAATGATTCTTTGATTGTCCTTGAATCTTTTTGCCACACTTGCCACGCCAGTATGGCATGCAGACCCTTTGAGAACCACTGTCGTATACACAAGCCCCAAATATTTTACTTGACCCAGCAATGTCTATGCAGTCCTGAACTGGCCGTTGGACTTCGTGCCTTCAAAAATATCTTTGGGTGGCAGAGAGATAAAGCAAGATGATTGACAAAGGGATCTGCTCTTTTAAATCACCCTGCCTTGTGTGGAGGCAGCCTTCCACAGCACATGTGGGATTCCGATATTGGCATGTGCAAATTGCCTTATTCCTCCCTCCTGGCTTCTGTTACAAGCAGTGCTGACATGCCCTCCCCTCCATCTCTCTGAAGTAGTCAATATCGCAATTACGGGCTAGAGTTGAAGTCAATTTTGTCCATTATGTCCTCCCCTTACAGCTGGTGCTGCCATTCTGTCTTCTCTGAAAGAGCTCCTTCTCAACCAGCCATTTGAGTCTCATTTTCCTTAACGTCAAAATTACATACTGCGGATCCTTTCTCCTGAATATGCTCGCCTCCCGCTTTTCCCACTCAGTAGCCCCCAGATTTTCCAGTTTTCTCTCCTTCCTTCTGTCCCTGCCCCAGTTTCCTGTTAGGGGCAAGCTCTTTGCCCTTACTATAGAAGGGGAAGAAATGGAGGCAGTGAGAGATTTTACTTTCTTGGGCTCCATTATCACTGCAGATGGTGACAGCAGTCACAAAATTAAAAGACAGCTGCTTCTTGGGAGAAAAGCAATGACAAACCTAGACAGCATCTTAAAAAGCAGAGACATCACCTTGCCAACAAAGGTCCGTATAGTTAAAGCTATGGTTTTCCCAGTAGTGATGTATGGAAGTGAGAGCTGGACCATAAAGAAGGCTGATCACCGAAGAATTGATGCTTTTGAATTAAGGCTGGAGGAGACTCTTGAGAGTCCCATGGACTGCAAGAAGATCAAACCGATCCATTCTTAAGGAAATCAGCCCTGAGTGCTCACTGGAAGGACAGAACCTGAAGCTGAGGCTCCAATACTTTGGCCACCTCATGAGAAGAGAAGACTCCCTGGAAAAGACCCTGATGTTGGGAAAGATGGAGGGCACAAGAAGAAGGGGATGGCAGAGGACGAGATGGTTGGACAGTGTTCTCGAAGCTACCAGTATGAGTTTGACCAAACTGCGGGAGGCAGTGGAAGACAGGAATGCCTGGCGTGCTCTGGTCCATGGGGTCACGAAGAGTCGGACACAACTAAATGACTAAACAACAACAACAACAACAACAAACCAACAGGCTACACTTTCTCCATTGCTGCCTCTTCGGGGTTGGAGAAGCTTCATTATATTTTTATTTTTAAAAAAGGAGAATGAATGCAAGTATAATGCTGAATGCTTCTGTTCTCACACCAGGCTGGCGTGGGCATCTGTTGCACAAGGCATTGGAGAGAACTAGGTCCCAGATTGCTTGAGAACAGTTTTCAAGGGCTATAAATAATATTTCCAGAATTAGGTTTGCTGGAACCTATGGAATCTGCTTCCCCATGGAAGATGCAGGTCCTTATCTATGGCGGACCAGGGACTGGGGGCAAAAATTCAGTATGGGTCTTAATGGGGATCCATCTCATTCCTGTTTCCCAAAATGATACAGGAACAGAAAGTCTACCAGCCTTCAAAACCTTCGTTTCTCTGAATTTTGCAGTGTGGTTCTCCAACCATATAAAGTGTACCAAGAAACGTGCACATCAGTGTGCATGAAAGCACATCTCGTGGTGGAAATAGCATGCAAAACTGCATTACCTTAGTGAAAGCTGCATCCAAAAACCTTTACACTGGGAGAAATAAGTTCTAAAATACTGAGATATTTTCATGGACCAGATAGCAAGGGAAATTCTTCGTGGGTGGCATCACTGCAGGTGATGCAAGGAGGGAAATGCATGTTTTAACAAAGGGGTCAGCAAACTTTTTCTTTTCAGCAGGGGCTGGTCCACTGTCCCTCAGACCTTGTGGGGGAGGGGAGAGACTATGTTCCCCACAAATAACCCAGAGATGCATTTTAAATAAAAGGACACATTCTACTCATGTAAAAATACACTGATTCCTAGACCGTCCGCGGGCCGGATTTAGAAGGTGATTGGGCCAGATCTGGCCCCCAGGCCTTAGTTTGCCTACCCATGTTTTAACACCTGACCATGATTCAAAAAACCCTGCACACAGAAAGTTAGCACATAGGGGTTAGAGTAAACTTCAGCTGTTCTTAGGGTTTTGCTATATTTTGGGGGGGTTGTGATATTTTTCTTGGCTGAAGGTCTCCACCTTTAACAGCTGCCTGATAACCAAACATTCAGATAATGAAAATTTCTGACATCACTACACTCCCAAGGGGGTTGCACCAGCTGAACTTTTGCCTGTCATTACCTTTCTTTATTTTGTTATCTTTAGATAATAAATGTTAATAATAATAATAAGTTTTTATACCCCGCCCTTCCTGGTTCAGAAAACCGGGCTCAGGGCGGCTAACAACAAATTTAAAACACTTAATTGATGCAATGAAAAACAGCATAAAATCAATTTAGGGGGGAAATCCATCCAATAAACATTAGATGATCACCAGGGCTAGCTGGCTAAATTAGTCCTATTTGGGCCAGCGAGGAGACCAGGGGAAAATTAGCTGTGGGATCCCAGAGTGGGTAATCTTCATAAAAAGGGGAGGGGGGAAGGAAGGGGAATAAAAGATCAGACTAAGTTCAAATTGAAAGCCGGGTGGAATAGCTCTGTCTTACAGGCCCTGCGGAAGGAAGTTAAATCCTGCAGGGCCCTGGTCTCATGGGACAGAGCATTCCACCAGGTGGGAGCCATCACTGAGAAGGTCCTGGCCCTGGTGGAGGATAATATACCATCTTTTCCTCCAAGAAGCTCAAGATGTTGAACATGGTTCTCTCCTCCCTGTTTTATCCTGACAACGACCCTGTGAGGTAGGTTCGGCTGAAAGACAGTGATCAGGCCAAGGTCACCCATTGAGTTTCATGGCTCCTTCTGTGCCCCACATATGCAGCTATTAAAACGCCCAAGAGCTTAGCCAGTAAAAAATAAATGAGGGGGGTGGGGAGTGATGTCAATAATTAGAGTATTTTTTCCCCCACTTTTCTTTACATGCTGGAAATTCTAACACATTTGTCATCAGATGGGGTGTGTGACTAAATTAATAGTAACACTTTTAATGTCAGATTGAATGCAATGCCAACAGATGCCATTGGAGGTATGAATGAAATGCAGATAGCTGCGAAAGATTTTTCTTTTTTTTAAAAAAAAAAAAGGAATACATACATATTTAAAACATTAAAGCTGCCATTACATATTTTAACAGTATCGCCAGTTCTCTGCAAATTGTCTCATTTGAGTAATCTCTCTATTCCTGGAATATTAAAAAGGTGTCACAGCTGTGGAATGTAGATCGAGGGAACAACGGGGAGCGAACAGGAGGTGCGAAAAGATTTTATTTTATTTTATTTAAAAAAACCAATTTCTAATCTGAGCTGTAGACAGCTTTCTACCTCCCACAGTGTAGGCAGAACATAACCCATTCGCGGCTAGTAGCGGTTGATAGCCCTTCTCCTCCATAAATTTGTCTACTTCTCTTTCAAAGCCACCCAGCTGGGTGGACATCTCATAGCTGAACTATGCTCTGTGTGAATCACAGAATATAGAGTTGAAAGGGACCCCGAGGATCATCTAGTCCAACCCCAGCAATGCAGAAATATTCTGCTGTCCCATACAGGGATTGAACATGCAACCTTGGCATTATCCAGGCCATGCTCTAACCAACTGAGCTATCCAGGCTGTTCCCCAGAAGTCCTTTAAGTGCCTCCCCTGTGGTCTGATTCACTATGACAAATCCCCATGCTTCAGTAGCTGAGTCGGTAAAGCACGAGACTCTTAATCTCAGGTCCGTGGGTTCGAGACCCACGTTGGGGAACTAGATTCCTGCATTGCAGGGGGTTGGACTAGATGACCCTCAGGGTCCCTTCCAACTCTACAATTCTATGATTCTATGTTCCTATTTAAATGTGCCCTTCATCCAGAACCATGAGGACTAGAACCCTGATTTATTTTTAGAGGAAGGTTTGTAGTTTTGGTTCCACAGCCATTCCTTTGAAAGTTTTTTTCTCCCTTGACTTTCTTTGTTATTTCCCCTCTCCTTTTTTTCTAGATTTATTCCATTCTGCTGGTAGAAAACACTGAACCTCAGAGACAGGAAGGGAAATCAGTATATTTTGCTTTAGGGCAGGCATCCCCAAACTCGGCCCTCCAGATGTTTTGGGACTACAACTCCCATCATCCCTGACCACTGGTCCTGTTAGCTAGGAATGATGGGAGTTGTAGTCCCAAAACAGCTCAATATGTCAAGATCCAGATGGGGCACAAAGCCGCGCAGCTCCCCCACTCACTGGGGCGCCCCTGAGAGGCCAGGGCCCTGGCGCAATGCGCCAGTAAGCCCAATAGGAAAGACGGCTCTGCCTGTGGGAAACCCAAAATCAGGACCTGAGCACAACAACACTCTTCCCTCCTGTGGTTTCCATCAGCTGGTATTCAGAAGCATGACTGCCTTCAACCACAGAGTACAGTCATCATGGAGAGTAAGGGTCAGTTATCAGTTAACTCTATCCATCTGCCACTGTCTGTCTGTCTGTGAAGCCCGGAAGTCATGATTCCTGCTCATCGCTGCTCTAGTTTGTATTGGGCACGTTGTAGTGTGGCAGAATGCCTTGCCACTGGCTTCTATACTCATGGTTGGACCGGTCATTAGGATCCCACAATATTTGACGGAGCACTTCCTGGAAGTACGATAGCAGCTTTCAAAGCGTTGAGAACTTCAGAGTAGACGGTGCTTCAAAGAGAACTGATAGTTGTGTCATTTGTTTACATCGCATCGACTTCCCTTTTTAGTTTTATTTCTTGGCTTTGATGGGAAACTTGTGTGCTTTAATCTACGCTGGAAAAATTCCAGGGAAGTCTGAAAGGGTTTGAGGAGAAATTGCTGTGCAGTTTCCAGGATGGGGGGAAAAGAAACTTTAGAAATACCCTTGACCGGGAGTAGTCAATATAGTGCCCTTCAGAAGGTGTTGACTACAACCCCCATTGTCCCTGACCAGAGGCCATGCTTGCTGAGGCTGGTGGGACTTGTAGTTCCAAGAACATCTGGATACATCGTGTTAGCTACCCCGGAATTATACAATGAAATGTATATTTTGTTCTTTCATGCTCAGAAACAAGTCCTGTTGATATAAATAGAATACCATTATCAGTAGATATTGACATCAGGTAAACACTTTCCTGATTGCCCAATAGTCGGAGTAAAGGTAAAGGACCCCTGACAGTTAAGTCCACTCACAGACAAATCTGGGGTTGCGGAGTTCATCTCGTTTTACAGGCCGAGGGAGCCGGCGTTTGTCTGCAGACAGTTTTCCAAGTCATGTGGCCAGCATGACTAAGCCGCTTCTGGCGCAACGGAACACTGAAACCAGAGCAGTGCATGGAAATGCCGTTTACCTTCCTGCCAGAGTGGTACCTATTTATCTACTTGCACTTTTTGGTGTGCTCTCGAACTGCTAGGTTGGCAGGAGCTGGGACCAAGCAATGGGAGCTCACTCCGTTGCAGGGATTTGAACCGCCAACCTTCTGATCGGCAAGCCCAAGAGGCTTAGTGGTTTTTTGTTTTTTTTAAATAAAATATTTATTGAAATTTTACGATAAACATAGATTTAAAGAATTAAAAAAAAAAGTTAAACCAAAAATTACAGAGAGAGAGAAAAAAAAACAAAAGCTAACAAGAAAAATAAGAAAAAAGAGACCTAAAAAGGAGAAAAAAAAGAAAAAAAAGGATGATACAAAATACAAAAAACAGATAGCTAAAAAAATAGAGGGAAAAGAAAGAGAAAAAATATTTTAAAGAAGAAAAAGTCCATTTTTCTTTTTTTTCTTTTTTTAAAGAATATTTATTCCAATTTTAAAGTTACATAGAAAGAAAAAAGCAAAAAAAGAAAAACAAATCACATACACCCTACAAAAAAAAAAGAATAACACACAATACAGAAAAAAAATACAAAAGACAAAAAATCACAATCCAAAAATAACAAAAAAATCAAGTTAAGCCATTAAGATCATTTTCCCATTTACTTATTTCCAAGACTTCCTCTCACTTCTCTGCTTTGTATTCTAATTTAAATCATATCTCCAGCAAACCCTTCTAACCTTCTTTTCATTTACTTAATTTAACATTCAAAAATATTTAATTCTCCTCTATTTTTTATTTTACACTACATATTTACTTATTCCATTATACTCTGTCTGCCCATACGGTCTAATGTTCTTCTCCAACCTTTTCTAACATTCTTTTATATTACAGTATTTCTGAAGATATGTTTTACATTTTTTCCAATCTTCTTCCATCGACCCTTCTTCTTGATCTCATATTCTGCCGGTCATCTCAGCCAGTTCCATATAGTCTATCACTTTTCTCTGCCATTCTTCTCGGGTAGGCAATTCTTGTGTCTTCCAGTATTTCCCAATAAGTATTCTTGCCGCTGCTGTCGCATACATAAAGAAATTCCTGTCTTCCCTTCGCACCAATTGGCCGACCATGCCCAAGAGGAAGGCCTCTGGTTTCTTCAGAAAAGTATATTTCAATACCTTTTTTTAGTTCATTATATATCATTTCCCAGAAGGCCTTGATCTTTGGGCACGTCCACCAAAGGTGAAAAAAAGGACCTTCATTTTCTTTACATTTCCAACATTTATTATCAGGCAGATGATAAATTTTTGCTAGCTTGACTGGGGTTAAGTACCACCTGTATATCATTTTCATTATATTTTCTCTTAAGGCATTACAAGCCGTAAATTTCATACCTGTGGTCCATAACCGTTCCCAGTCAGCAAACATGATATTATGCCCAACATCTTGCGCCCATTTAATCATAGCAGATTTAACCATTTCATCCTGTGTGTTCCATTTCAACAGCAGATTATACATTCTTGACAAATTTTTAGTTTTAGGTTCTAACAATTCCGTTTCCAGTTTAGATTTTTCCTCCTGGAAACCTATCTTTTTATCTAAGTTAAAGACCTCCCTTATTTGATAATAATGCAGCCAATCTCGAACTTTAGTTTTTAATTTGTCGAAGCTCTGCAATTTTAATTTATCTCCGACTTGTTCTAAAATTTCGCCATATTTTGGCCAATTTGTCTCCATGTTTGTTTTTTTCAGAGCCTTAGCCTCCATTGGTGACAGCCACCTTGGTGTTTTACTTTCCAACAAATCCTTATATCTCACCCAGACATTGAATAATGCTTTCCTGACAATATGATTCTTGAAGGCCTTATGCGCTTTAACTTTGTCATACCATAAATATGCATGCCACCCAAACACATTATCGAAGCCTTCTAAATCTAAAATGTCCACATTTTCAAGAAGTAGCCAATCTTTCAGCCAGCAAAAAGCGGCTGATTCATAGTAAAGTTTAAGATCTGGCAGGGCAGAAAAAGTCCATTTTTCAATGTCTTTAGGCTCATTTACTTATTTCCTTGACCTCCTCACACCTCCCCTTTTTGTATTCCCGTTTACAAAGTCATTTCAGCAAATCCTTACCCTCTTTCATTTATCTTTACTCTGTATCTTAACCTATTATAACTATATATTTTCATCCATATAACTATCAATATTTACATATTCTTATTAACCTTATTACCAAAACCACTTATTTTCAGTCCAACATCATTTTAACATTCATTAATTTTACAGTATTTCTGCAAATAGTCTTTAAACTTCTTCCAATCTTCTTCCACCGACTCTTCTCCCTGGTCTCGGATTCTGCCAGTCATTTCCGCCAATTCCATATAGTCCATCACCTTCATCTGCCATTCTTCCAGAGTGGGTAAATCTTGTGTCTTCCCCAAGAGGCTTAGTGGTTTAGACCACAGCGCCACCTGCATCCCTCTAATAGTAGGAGCAGGAGTAGGAATGGAATTATGTAGGCAAATTTTCTTTTGTCAGCATTCTGGGATTTAATTTTGTCTCGAATTTTGCTATTCTTCTTTGTTGGCTTTAAATTTTATGTCCTGTGAATTAATTATAATTGAAAAATGTATTTAAATAAAGAAAAGCAGAAGTCGGGACTCGGTTCAGAGGCTTAGGAGAACCTTTATGAATAAGTTTACTTAGCAAACTTAAGCTTTTCTTTGCCAGCTCATAGGTGAAGGGGAGCAATGAGAGCTTATGGTTCTTATGTGTTCAGGACTGAATAGCTATTATTGTGAGTCCAGGAGGAAGCACACAGGCAGGCGATGCTACTCCCACAGCAATATCAATGCCCTAAAATAAATAAAGACGTCATCTGTCTCTAGGTAACCTCTGCTAGCCCATTCCAAAGCAATGACCCTTCATCCCTCCCTGCAAACACCCTCTCAGCAGATGAGTTAGTCTGAGCCCCTTCCAGCAGGATGTGTGGCTCATGTCTGAAGCCACTATCCAGTGTCTCCTAGAAACAAACATCCCTCCCCAAAACTTAAAAGCTATCGTACCATTTTGAAAAATGCAGCAAGGCCACACTGGCACCATGCATTTAAAGCAGTGCCATGCTGCTTTGAACAACTATGGCTCTCCCTGCAAAAGAACCGCAGCTTGTTAAGAGTGCTGAGAGCTATGAGGACACCCCTCACAGTGACAATTCCCAGAACCGTGACAATGGGAGGGGAAATAGGGTCTCCCTAGCAACTCCCAGCGCCCTCAATAAACTGTTGCTCCCAGGATTCTTTGATCTGACTGTTCAAAGGGGAGGAAGAGTGTTTTAAAGGTATAGTGCAGATGTGGCCAATGCAATTCTGAACAGCGTGCTTTTTTAAAACAACAACAATACGTGAATACTCTTAATCCAGCAGTTTGGGTGTGACCTCATCAAACAGATGCAAATAAATGAAAACAGAGTCTGCCTTTTGAAAGGAAACAGCCATCACCTGCAGCCAGACCCTCACATTTATCTCTATCATAAGAGGTGAGGCACAACCCCCTTGAAAGGGTTCCTGCCTTCCCTACTGCCTAATTGATGACTTGCTTTGGCAGTTCTTCCATTGCCTTCTTCTTGCCAATCCTCAAGTCTCCACCAATTGCTCTCTCCCCTTTTCCATCTTTCTTCCTCCCTTCCCAAGAGCCAATGTTATCTGTGACCCAAGAAGGAGATGGGCCCGTCTAGTTTCTCCCCCTGCACATTTGCCCTGCCTTAAGTTCCATTCGGTCCATTTTAGCACCGGTCTGTACTCTACAGACACATTTCCTCCTAAAATATATACCTGCCCAGCCGCCATCCCTGTGTTATGTATCAGGGGCTCCATGGGCTCCATGGGGATCTGGCACGGTTTGGCAGCCCTGGATGGATGAGAAAGAAGGAGATGGAACAGAGACAGGGGACTTGAAGGCTGGCACCCAAGGATAGAGGACAGAAGCTTTCCCCTTCTCACTCTGATGGGGAACCCAATTCTCATCACTGCCCTTCCTGCAGAATGCAGAGCATCGTCAGTGTGGAAGGACTTCATCCAGCCTGTCGGAGTGACTGGGCAAAGTCAGAATCAGAGGAGCAGGAGGCAGGTTTGCTGTCGAGAACCAGGTGCTGTCTTTGTAGATGGGAGCAGGTACCCCAAAGAAGGATATCTGCACATGCGACATCCCCATGAAATGAGGGAGTCTTGCGAGTGAGGTCGCCATGCCTTGTATTTAAAAGTTGGGCTGGAGGGGCGTATCGCACGTTGGGACATCTTCATTGCTTCCCTTCAGCTTGTGTTGCTCGTGTGCTTTGGAATCATGACTTTAGGACCCTGAGTCTGTACCATTAGTAACCTGTATAAACAGCTCATTCTTACAAGCACATTCTTCATTACAGTCCAAAGACCCGACGAAACCATTTTGAAAGCAAAATATATCAGATATACAGGGAAAACATTGCTAGGCAGTCATTGCTTTATATCTAAAGCGTGTTGATTTCTAATTATTATTACCTCTGAGAGGAATTTTGACACAGCCAGGGTTATATCACTTATCTTATCGTCAAGGAGATATCTGAGATAAAAAATACCTGACTTTCCAGATAAATTTACCAATAAAGGTTTGATTAATTGGTTCCTGGCTTGTTCATACAGCCCACAGCTTACACACAAGTAGGAGCCTCTGTTGTTGTGTTGGAGACTGTCCGATGAGATACTTTCCTTTGCCTTGCCTGTGTGGCTTCACCTCAAACTACCCAGGTAAAGGAAGTGGACTTTGCCCTCACTGATAATAAGGATTGGAATTCGAATGGAGGTGGGTGGAATATTGGATGTCTGTATAACTATCATAGGTTGATGGTCCAGCTGCCAGCATCATATTTCACATGTAACTACTACAAATGGACCTCCAATCAATGTCAACGTGAGCATTAATGCAATTCTGGCATGCGTGTGTTTATTGGTACGTTGTTATAGCCTTGGTGGCACTGAATTTATTAGCGACGTGGTTTATTGCTGCGTGATTTACTCCCAAGCCCTGATGGAATGTGAAGTCATTGCTCTTAATAACCATTTAGTGCACATAATGTAACGCACATTCCTTTCTGTTCAAGTGCTCCTGTTCTGCATTTCGTCGGAAGTGACAGGATCCCTGGGGGAGGGCACGAGGGGTGGGCAGAGAGAAATTCATCTCCATTTTTGCTGGTGCAGGAAGTTAAAATGAATGAAACTGCAAAGCTATCCCTTTGGGTTGCATTAGAAATAACAAAGGGCTCACAATATATGGGCTTTTCTTAGTGCAGGGAAGTGTTATAAGGAAAAAAAACTGCTCCTTTTCCCCTTATGGGGTACCCAAGAGCCCATACAGAGTCCTTATGTAGGTTCTCTATCGGTAGGAGAAAATAACAGAAGCCAACCAGAGACTATTGAGAAGCAAAGCAGCTAGTAAGCCCGATCTTTATTAAACTGTTGCAACAGGGTGTTCACACAGACACCACGCAGGAGGGAGGAGGAACCCAGAACAATGGTGCGCAACCCCTTATATAGACTGTTGAAATTGCCACCCTGTAGCTCAAGACCACCCCCCAATACATCATACATACATCACAGAAGGAGCAGTCTGCAGCAGAATCCTGTGGCAGGAAACCTGTTAATGGGTTTACCTGGACAGCCTGGCCATTCTTTTGTGATGATAAATCATGGGTAGGCAAACTAAGGCCCAGGGGCTGGATCCGGCCCAATCACCTTCTAAATCCGGCCCGCCGACGGTCTAGGAATCAGCGTGTTTTTTACATGAGTAGAATGTGTCTTTTTATTTAAAATGCATCTCTGGGTTATTTATGGGGCATAGGAATTCGTTCTCCCCCCCAAAAAAATATAGTCCAGCCCCCCCCCCAAGGTCTGAGGGACAGTGGACCGGCCCCCTGCTGAAAAACTTTGCTGACCCCTGTGATAAATACTTAATTCCTGAGTCCAGGTCACAGGCTCACCGTAGAACTCAGTCTAATAATTGGCTTGAGATCTCTCTCTCTCTCTCTCTCTCTTTCTCTCTTTCTCTCTTTCTCTCTCTCTTTCTGCTGTCGTAACAACTTCCTGTTGTAATGGTGAAGACAGAGGCTTCAGTTGCACCAAATCTCAACCCCATGATTTATTTGGATTATGAAGGCACAGCCACAGGAAATATGAAATCAAATGCCACTCCAAATTCTGTCATGTTGGGCAGATGATTCTAGGTTTGCCTTCTTCATGAGAGTTACCACACTTCCCTTCACAAAATGACAAAGGACTGACCACCCTTTATTCATGAAAACCAACTTTTATGCAGTTTTAGGACTACAATACCCATAAGGCAGTGTGACTGTGAACCAATTGCACATATGTAAGCACACTGGAGGCCTATACTTGAAGCATCTAAATACTGTATGTGACGGCATAAATAAGCAGTGCTGGAATACAAAAAAAAAGCTTACAGGAGGTAGGAAAATGTTGTTCCTCTCGCTAAAGGCGGGGGGAATAAGACCCAGGTAACTACCAACCAGTCAATTTGATGCTGTTAGAAGGAAAGGTCCCAGAATTAAATTAAATTAATTAAGAAGTCAGTCTGTGAGCGCTTAGAAAAGGATGCTGTGAATACTAAAACCTAGCATGGGTTTCTCAAAAGCAAGTCATGCCAGAAGAATCTCATTTCTTTACAGGGGGTTGGACTAGATAATCCTCAGGGCCCCTTCCAACTACAGTGGTACCTCAGGTTTCAGATGCTTCAGGTTACAGACTCCGCTAACCCAGAAATATTACCTCGGGTTAAGAACTTTGCTTCAGGATGAGAACAGAAATTGTGAAGCAATGGCACGGCGGCAGCAGGAGGCCCCATTAGCTAAAGTGGTACTTCAGGTTAAGAACAGTTTCAGGTTAAGAGCGGACCTCCAGAACGAATTAAGTTCTTAACCCGAGGTACCACTGTATACAGTTCTATGATCCCCACAGAGATCTGTTACTCTTAGCCAGGAGCACAGATTTCAAGGTGGAAGCCCACCTGCCTGCCCCATATATACACTTATGCATATACTTTATATACCGTGGGCAGTTTCTTCATGTCTGCTCTAAATGTACATAAACTGATGTCATTTTAACATACCATTTGTTTGGGAAATCTTGAAACCTCCCAGCTTTTTAGAGCCTTTGTATGAAACATAATAAAGGAAGAACTGAGAGGTGGGTTCTTTCTTCTCCCATTCATCAAGTCAGCCCTGGGATAGTTAATTGTCAGGGTCATTATGGACTCTTGCACTGTTTTGTTCCTTGCTTGAATTTGCATTATTCCTCAACAGAGAGAGAGAGAGAGAGTGAGGGAGAAATGGTGGACATCTCAGAGCAAAGAACCAGTGTCAAGCTCATAAAGAGACAATGCCTGTTTCCATAGAATCATTTGTTCGTTCCCCTGGTGGCTGAATGCCACAGATGCGAACTTTGGTTACTAGGTAACCATGCTGTATCGACCAATGGCAGAGGAGAGTTTACCAAACTTACTCAGTTTATATCTGAGGGATGTGTTTCTTTTGTTCGATGGGTCTTCAGGGGGAGATCATTCTTCCCTCGCACATCTCGATTTCCTTTTAGATCGGGGCTGAGCTGAAAGGGGGCTCCGTTCCATCGGCATCGAGAGATGACCCCCTTTTGGAAAGTTGTCAAGGACATTTGCAAAACAGGACGGAAGTGTCCACCCAATCATAAAACAGGGCTCTGAACATGCTTCACTTGTCTCTGGTTAAGCCATCACTTCCCTGCTGGCTAGGATCACCCATGCAACCAGTCCTTGTAGTTTTTACCTTCACTCTGAAGCCGCTTTGTTTGCTCTCAGTGAGGTCACCGTGTACCCAGGTCTTGATTGGCTATGAAGTGCTGCAACATCATATGTACACAGGGCCAGATTTAGGTGTGATGAAGCCCTAAGCTACTGAAGGCAGTGGGGCCTTTTATATGTCCATCTGTTCTTTGTCAACAACAATTGTCACAGTTTTTTTGTGTTGAATATTTGCCTTGTGGTAATTTATGGAACTAATAGGTATCTAAAGCCATTTGCACATGCAGAATGTAGGCACCCTATATATAAAGGTAAAGGGATCCCTGCCCATTAGGTCCAGTCGTGACCGACTCTGGGTTTGCGGCGCACATCTCGTTTTATTGGCCGAGGGAGCTTCTGGGTCATGTGGCCAGCATGACAAAGCCACTTCTATATATAGAAATGGGCAAACCAGTGATATTTTAGGGAGCAGGCTAGCAGGCGAGGCCCATGACTTACATCATAGGAGCCTACACAACACAAAACACTGTTGCTGTATGTAGGTTTTATTTTATTTGTTTTTTATCTTATATTTTGGAAATGTACATCCAGTTCCCCCCCCCTTTAAATCTCTTGGGTCCCCAAGCTATAGCTTGTTTAACTTATACATAATGTACACCATGATCCCTGAGTGGCTCTGTGAAAGAAGCCTGACTAGGAGGGTGGAAGTCCGAAAGCAGTAGAAGATAAGGGGAAATCCATAGCCTATTATGAGCTGAGCCCAAACTCCTCCTATATTCAGGCCTAGCTTGACACACACACACACACACACACACACACACATACACACACACACACTGCTTTCTGTCAGGTTCCTGCTTCCTAAGCAAACTTGCCTTTGCAAGGAGGCAGGAGAATGGGCAGCAATATCCAAGTATTCTCAAGGGTTTTCCTAGAAATCTCAAAAAGTGCCAAAATATGTTTAAAATGCATCATTTAGGACACAATGCATTTAGAAAGGCATGCAATGAGATGGTATATGCATTTGAATAACTATTTTGTGATAAAATACATGTTTTATCACATAATTAAGGATGTATTTATAGATTAAGGGGTCAGTTTTATGGCATGTTTTGCCAGGATGTGCAACATATGATCCGGCGGATCTCCAGCTCAGGCTGCTGATTCCTGGCTCAGCTGGCATTAAGTCCCCATCCCTGGCTCAGCCAGAGACATGTCAGCATAATTTATTCATCCCAGCTCAGTTGGGGCTCAGTCATTTGGTCCAAAGCTGGTTTAGCTGAGACCAATATATGTCTCCAAAACAGGCATTCTGGGGTGCATTACTAAGCTGGCTCAGCTCAGTCATGTGATATGGGAACCTGGTACAGAGCTTTGTTTTCCTCACCTGCTTAACAGGGTTTGGATATGATGTAACTTTGTGCCAGCTTTGTGTGCGTAGAATGGGTCCTTTAATATGGCAAATCAGGCATATGAATAAACACAGGTGGAAGTGACATGGACTAGAAACAATTTGATCCACCCATCCCTACAAGTTCTCAGTTTCCTTTTCACTGCTAGGGATGGGCAGATTTGTCAATTTCAGTCTTTCTAAGTTCGTCATTCCCACCCCCATCAAATTCATTCCTGCACATTTCTGCAGCAATTTGTCTCCGTGAAAATCTGTCAGCATTTTAGAGCACATTTCTCCCAAGAAGCCCATTTTTTATTTTATTTTTATTTTTTGCTTTTAGGTCTACATACTTTTGCAAGCAGTTTCCCCTAAAATAATGCATCCTTGCATGCTATTTTCATGCATTTTTAGTCACACATCTCCCAAATATTTGTATTTTGGTGCATGCTGTTCAGTTGGGGAACTGCACTGGAAAACTCAGAGAAGTGCGACTTCCAGAAGATCGATAAGCTGAAGTTCCCATGTTCCTTTGGGAAGTACAAATAAGGTAGCTTCTCATTAGAATGCAGCAAAATCAAATTCATGCCCCATTCCTGTTCATTGGCCGTCAATGTTTCTTCAACACTACCCCATCTACTCTGCAGTGCATTGAAGTGCCTGGTTTTGTTGATGGCAAGATGAAGCCTTGGTTTTATTACACACCTGTCAGTGAGACGCTGAACAGAAAACAGAAGAACCAAATTGGTGTTTTGCCAATAATAAACATGCAAGGTGTTTCTGCTCTTGATATCAAAGAGGCGAAATGATTTAATAGAGAGTTTTGCCATTGCAGATGTTGTGCTACGTGACCAAGGCTGCAATGCTCAGTCTTCTGTGGCTATAAACAATCTGTCCTTCAGCAAACATCTTCTTTTGCCAAGAGGCCATGGTTGTCTACTTCAGTGTATTTATGCAATGCAGATGAACAATAGGATAAAAACTACATTTATATGGCAGTTTCGGACATTCGTTACAAAAACTCTGTTACAGTGGTACCTCAGGTTACATATGCTTCAGGTTACATACACTTCAGGTTACAGACTCCGCTAACCCAGAAATAGTGCTTCAGGTTAAGAACTTTGCTTCAGGATAAGAATAGAAATCAGGCTCCGGCGGCACGGCGGCAACAGGAGGCCCCATTAGCTAAAGTGGTGCTTCAGGTTAAGAACAGTTTCAGGTTAAGTACGGACCTCCGGAACGAATTAAGTACTTAACCTGAGGTACCATTGTATTAGGAAACAGTAGCTGAGTTTTATTTTGTATTCCTCTACCCTCCCAATCTTTTCCCCCTTTCATGTTGTGTGTTTTAGATTCCAAGCCATAATAATAATAATAATAATAATAATAATAATAATAATAATAATTTATTATTTGTACCCCACCCATCTGGCTGGGTTTCCCCAGCCACTCTGAGCAGCTTCCAACAAAGATTAAAAATACATTAAAATGTCACATGTTTAAAAATTCCCTAAACAGGGCTGCCTTCAGATGTCTTCTAAATGTCAGGAAGTTGTTTATTTCTTTGACATCTGATGGGAAGGTGTTCCACAGGGCGGGTGCCGCTACCGAGAAGGCCCTCTGCCTGGTTTCCTGTAGCTTTGCTTCTCGCAGTGAAGGAACAGCCAGAAGGCCCTCGGCGCTGGACCTCAGTGTCCAGGCAGAATGATGGGTGTGGAGACGCTCCTTCAGGTATACTGGGCTGAGGCTGTTTAGGGCTTTCAAGGTCAGCACCAACACTTTGAATTGTGCTTGGAAATGTACTGGGAGCCAATGTAGGTATTTCAGGACCGATGTTATATGGTCTGTCACTTTCTTACCACAGACATTTCTAAGCTGCTGTGGAAGCCTCTCTTTTGGACAAAGAGTCAAATATAAATGTTTGGGTGGGAGGGCAGAAGTAATAAAGAACACCATGAATTTATTTCTGTCTATATAATAAAAATGTAAGAATGTTATCATCCAGCCTACACTGGAGGATTGGTAGTGCTTCATCACAGTCCTAGATTTACATGAAGTAAGGGAACGAAAATTAAGCCAGGTTGCACAACAGCAGCAGTCATGGCATGTGAGCAAGATGGTAGGGATACAGTGGTGCCTCGCAAGACGAAATTAATCCGTTCCGCGAGTCTCTTCGTCTAGCGGTTTCTTCGTCTTGCGAAGCAACCCTATTAGCGGCTTAACGGATTAGCGCTATTAGTGGTTTAGCGGCTATTAAAGGCTTATCAGTTTAGCGGATTAGCTGCTAAAAGGCTATTAAAGGCTTAGCGGCTTAGATAAAGGGGGGGGAAGCGAAAAAAAAATCTCAAGACTCGCAAGACATTTTCGTCTTGCGAAGCAAGCCCATAGGGAAATTCGTCCTGCGAAGCAACTCAAAAACGGAAAACCCTTTCGTCTAGCGGGTTTTCCGTCTTGCGAGGCATTCGTCTTGCGGGGCACCACTGTACTGAGAGAGGAAAAGTGATGGGACATTTGAGGGCTCCGCATCCTTTATCTCTTTCACATAAGGCAGCTGAGAAATGGACAAGGAAACACTTTGACTACAGTGAGAAGGAAGAGGCACTGAAAGGAAACAGAGCGGCTGTTGTAAACAATGGCAGAAGTCTGAGCAAAATGTGGGGTGGAGGAACACTGAGGGGTGGGGAACGGTGATTTTAAACGGTGGCAGAAGTCTGAGTAAAAGCAGAGATGGAGGGTCACGGAGGGGAAAAATGTGATTTTAAACAACTGCAGAGATTTGAGTAAAGCAGGGTTGGAGTGATACCGAGAAGGAAAAAGTGGCTTTTAAACAATGACAGAGATTTGAATAAAGCAAGGGGGGATAGCAGGGGGATTGGTGGGTGGAGAAAGCAGGGGTGCAACCCTAATACTTAAAATATGTGTAAACTGCCTTTATATATAAAGCCCACTCGAGGCAGCTAGCAAATTAACAGGTAAAGCTATTGTTTATAACAAGTATTATATTCATACCTGTTTCAGTTAATCTAGTTCAGGAGACCCAACATGGCGTCCTCCAGATTTTGCCAGATGCGAACTCCCATCCTTCCCCTGACCTTTGGAGTCCCACAACATCTGGAGGTCCACAAATTCCCTGTCAGGCTTCAGAGAATTGGCTCCCCCACCGCCCCGCTCCAGTGGCAGTAGATAAGAAGAACAAAGGGAAATGGGTCTTCTTACCAGTTAGAAACTTTAATAATCACAGCAAGAGAACAAAGAACCCAGCTCCTAGAAATGGCAGTGCTCCTAATTAAGGATTCCACCCCTTACATCCCTGTTAATCTACGCCTCTTCTACGTCTTGTAATCTGAGCTTGTTCCCTCTGTGTTTTGTGTCCTTTCTGCTCTGCCACTTTCTGAGCTCTTCTTGACCTCGGGGAGAGCGGATGAATGCTTTCCAGGGACGGTGAATCTGTTAACCCTCTCTCTTTCAGTGTTTCTTCTCCTAGTTGTTCCCTATTCAGTTGTGCTGGGCCCAGGGGTGCCCCTTGAAATGTGGTCCAGGACCAGTCCAGAATCCAGAAGTTCTGTTAGGAGTCAGTCCAACAGGGCTGAGACAGGAAACCAGGTATGCCAGAACCCAGGCAGGATGTGGCATACAGCAATGTTGCTCCCGCAACCTGGGGCAGGGTCCATCAGCCTTTTATCTTTGTCGGGGTATTGGCCGGTCCTGATCCCCCGGCGACTCACCTCCCTGTTTCACCCAAAGGCGAACACTCCTCCTGCAAGTACTCAGGTCTCTCCTTCTCTCAGACCTTAGTCTCTGCAGCTCGGGAGACGTCGGTGGGTTACTAGACCCAGGAGCCTTCTCAGCCTCTCCTGATCCATCTGGTAGTGGAGCAGCTGTAAGTGATGGCCCAGCTGAAGGCAATGAGGTAATCCCCGCATCTGGAGCCAGGGCAGGCTCAGGCCAGCTGGTGTTTGTTGCAGGGGAACCTGTGCAGACTGGGACTCTTCAGGATCAAGCCCCAGACTTGGTTCAGATGATGCCTGAGGCAAAGGATCCAGTGCAAACTGAGTCTCCTCTGGTTCTGAGTCTGAGCTCCAGTCCCAGGCCACCACACTAGTATTTCCCAGCTTTGCCTTCTGAACTATGCCCCTCTGCAAACCACTGTTCCAAATCTATACTGCCCTCTGCTCCTGGGAAGATTCAGATCCAGATCAGGAGCAGGGGGAGGGTGAGGCTCCCACCATTTCTCCTCCATGCAGCCCTCCTCAGCACGGTCCCTGACATTCCCCCATCCTGAACTAAGCCACGCTGTTGGTCAGCCTTCCCAGACTTGGTGCCCTGCAGTTACTGCTGGACTTCAACTCCCATCATCCCTGACCTTTCACCATGCTGGTTGAGTCTAACAGGAGTCCAACAGCGACCATGTCATCTACCTTTGATCTTGTTCTTGTTTTACATCAGAACTTGGGATCAGCCCTGCTGGCAGGGTTCTTTCCCAGCCCTACCTGGAGATGCCAGGGAGTGAACCTCTGAACCTTGTGCATGCAAAGCAGTTGCTCTAACACTGAGCTATGGTTCTCCCCCTAGTCCATGGCGACTGCTGGCTCAGTCAGTGTGGTGTAGTGGTTAAGAGTGGTGGACTTGTAATCTGGTGAACCGGGTTCGCTTCCCTGCTCCTCCACATGCAGCTGCTGGGTGACCTTAGGCTAGTCACACTTCTCTGAAGTCTCTCAGCCCCACTCACCTCACAGAGTGTTTGTTGTGGGGGAGGAAGGAAAAGGAGAATGTTAGCCGCTTTGAGACTCCTTCGGGTAGTGATAAAGCGGGATATCAAATCCAAACTCTTCTTCTTCTTCTCAGTCTTCAGCCCATCTCTCATGAACCACAGGTACTGAAATGCAAGCTCAGTTTCCCAATGTCTGGGGTGCGTGTGCTTTGCCAAATGAGCCAATCGGTTTGGGGCGTTGCATTCGCTGTAGGGAGAGGGAGGCATGCATGAACTTCAGCTGTTTACCTCTTTTGCAGAATTTGTTTCTCTCTAGGCAAAATTATCCTGTGTCGCTCAAGAAAAGTCCCATTGATTGCTGAGCTGAATTAGCATTTCCTCCCGCGTGCTGCTTGACAGCCACCCGGGCTGATACAAAAGCAGGCTGTAAACATTAACGCCTTTGAAAAGAGCAAATTGCAAGCTTGCCACTTTCCCCCCTCGTGGCGCCTGTCTAAGCAAAACCCATGGCCTAATTTCAGCTCGCTGCTCTGCCTTTTCGCTGCATCCCTTTTCGGGGCAAAAAATAAAATAAAATTTTGAAGTGGGCCATTTAATGAGTGACATGAGAAAGGACTGTGGTAGAAGGGGAAGCCTCAGGTCAGGGGAAAGCCAGCCTGGCCCTAGAGTTCTGCTCAGTTTCTGCAGCAAGGAATTGGCCACTCTAGGCTTTGTGTCACCTGCTGGCCGCTAACTGTTCATCTGTTTGCTGTTAGGAAGTTTGTATCCAGAGGTGGGACACAAACTTTTACACATTATCAGGAGTAGTAATATTTAAACTGACTGCAGTACAGTGGTACCTTGGTTCTCAAGCTTAATCCATTCCAGAAGTCCGTTCCAAAAACCAAGGCACGCTTTCCCATAGAAAGTAAGGCAAAATGGAATAATCCATTCCAGACTTTTGGAAACAACCCCTAAAACGGCAATTTAACATGAATTTTACTATCTAACGAGACCATTGGTCCATAAAATGAAAGCAAAAAGCAGTGTACTGCAGTCACACAATCAATCAATCAATAGCTGAACTGGGTTCCACACAGTCACAAAAACAAAACAAAAAGAACCGCAAAAACAAAAATGCAAAAGAAATAGCAAAAACAGACAGACCTCAGCGTAACACTCAAAACGGAAGCGTAACACTCAAAATGGAGCACGTTCGGATTCCTTAAAAAGTTCACAAACCAGAACATTTACTTCTGGGTTTGCAGTGTTTGGGTTCCAAGTTGTTTGAGTACCAAGGTGTTTGAGAAACAAGGTACCACCGTAGTTGCTTTCTTTGCCAGAGCAAATAAATAAATAACAGACATAAATCCCCACATGAAACAGAGCATTAAAGTATCTAAAACCCATCATAAAATGCAGGATCAAAACTTACCACCCACTCAAGAAGGCCATAGACAATTAAAACCCAAAGGTCTGGCAAAAAATAAAAATATGTTTTGCCTGGTGTCTAATGCTATGTATTGTTGGCACCAGGTGAGCCTCCTAGAGAAGGGCATTCCACACGTAGGGGGCCATCACTGAAAAGGCCTGCTCTTGTGTTGCCACCCTCAGGACCTACCTTGGAGAGGCCATACAGAGAAGGGCTTCAGATGGCAAAAACACCAGTAGTTTGCTCACTGGAAAAGTAATGGTTTATGTTCTGATATTGGAATACAGGCACAAGTATCCTGTGTCTATGAATGGTTAAATCTGCTAAAATAAATGGAGATTTATTTATTTTTGCTGTGTAACTTTAAGGAACAGATTCCCACAAGCATCTGGTTGGCCACTGTGAGAACATGATGCTGGAACAGATGAGCCAATGGCCTGGTCCAACAGGCTGTTTTTATCTTCTGACAATTCCCAGAATTCGCTGAGAAGAGGGATTGCCTGGGAAATCTTTGGGTCATTTCTCTAAGGTTGTCTATTTTAAAGTTTTTATGTGTTTATATGCCTATCACACTTTTAAACTTAAAATCTATTGTTGTATATTGTTTTAAAGGTTTGTTTTGCTATTGGGATTGTAGTTCCATTTGTGTTTCTCAGGCTGGTCTCTGACCATAATAAATTTCATGTTCACCCTGGGAACTCAAGTAGCTTCTCATCTCCCCGTATTACAAGACGCGATTTCATTGAACTTGCAAATGTGGAAAAGAGGGCTTTCTTAAACGAAGGATTTTGCAATTTTACAGTCCATTTCATTCCTTCTGGTTTCCCCTGTATCTGCCTCCGATCAGCATTATCGGGCCACTCTGACTTCCAGCGTTTGAGGAAAGGGAGAACATTTCCCCTCTGTGTTGTCCTTCCCCACAGTTTCACTTCTGCCAACCTCTGCCACATCTTACAGATGAGAATTTTGTAGAATCTTCCCTTAGTCATCTTCTTTATCCTCCCAAAAGTAAAAAGCCTTCCAAAAAAAGGGGGGGAGAGAGAGCTTTAGCATTTCCTTGTAGGAAACCTGTTCTGGTCCCTCGAGGTTTCTTTCACCCCACCAAACTCTTCTTCCATATCTTTTCATTTCCTCCCCTGTCTTGCGACAGCAGCGAAGTCCTCTGCACAGCGGCTTCCCGCCTTACCTGCACTCTTTGCCTTACCGCTGCGAGCTTTATGACCTGTGAAATTGGCTTAAGTATCGATCGGTTGTCCTTGTTTACAATGGCGAAGGCAAGAAAGGGAGCATTTCCGCCTGCCCGCGCTGCGACTTGGAGGAGACCCACTGCAAGGCCTGAGCTGAATGCTCGCCGGTCACTTTGCCTGTTCATCCTTCGTCTTGATTTACCAGGCTGTCAGGAGTGGTAGTGGAAGGGAGAGGGAGAGGAATAGGAATCAGTGGCAGTGCATGCAATACTCCAGCAAGGAGATAATGCCTGGCTAGGTTAAAGATAACTGGCTAGAGAGCAAAGAATAGCCCCTTGCTGTGATCATGGCATCACAGAATTGTAGAGTTGGAAAGGGCCCAGGCATCTTCAAACTCGGCCCTCCAGATGTTTTGGGACTACAATTCCCATCATCTTTGACCACTGGTCCTGTTAGCTAGGGATGATGGGAGTTGTAGTCCCAAAACATCTGGAGGGCCGAGTTTGGGGGTGCCTGATCTATCCCAACACCCTGCAATGCAGGAATATGCACCTGTCCCATACGGGGAAGAAACCTGCAACCGTGGCATTATCAGCACCACACTCTAACTGAGCATATGATAAGCGCTAGGGAGTCTCTAGCCACACAAGGTCCTCCATGAAGTCTTCCATGTCTTAAGCTGGCAATGCCCCATCCTCTGGCCAGAGAAGTGGTCTCACTGGCCCTGCAGGCTCATGGGATGGCATGTCCTGTTTGCCCTTTCCCTCCTGTTTTGGAGACCTCCGCTTCATCACCCAGAGAGGACTCCTGGACCCTGAAAAAGCCAGCCCTGGGATCTGCCCTCTTGCTCTCCTGCAGCTCCTTCACGCCAAAGGAAGGGGGCTCACGATCTGTCCTTTCCCTTATCAACAAGCAGGCCGGTCACCTAGCGACCCCTTAGCACGATTTCGTAAACGTGCCTAACCCCCGCGAAATCTGATGCATTTATTTTCCTGCTCGAGAGCACCAGCTCCGTACCTGGATAATCCATCATTTTAATTGCTTTCCTGAAAGCACAGCCATCTGAGGCTGTAGGCTGCCGGCTTACTGTCCTGCACAGCTGGAATGTGGGGCATGTGTGTGTTTGCGCGCCTTCTAAAAGCATACAGATTCTGTTTGCATGTTACGCAGAGGGGTATTATGCCTGCAAACTGCTGGGTAGCATTAAAACAGAGCGAGGATCGATTGGCTTCCAGTTTTTATCTTCAAATATCCTACAGATGTCAGGGCTAGGAAACTCCATGGGTTCTCACCTTCCCCAGGTTATCCTCACAACAATCCTGCGACAGAGGTTGGCCTCAGAGATGGGCACTGGCTCAATATCTCTATCCGTGAGCATTCCCAGGACTGAGAAAGGATGTGAACCCTGGGCTCCTGGGTCCTATGCCAACCCTAGTCTGCTGCAGGGAGCACATATCCACTTCCGATCCACTAGGATCAGGTTTAAGGTGCTGGTTTTAACCTTCAAAGCCCTATGTGGCCTAGGACCCTCGTACCTATGGGACCGCCTCTCCTGGTATGTCCCACAGAGGAACTTACGGTCTTCAAACAAAAACATCTTGAAGGTCCCAGGCCACAGAGAGGTTAGGCTGGCCTCAACCAGAGCCAGGGCTTTTCGGCTGTGGCTCCGATCTGGTGGAACGCTCTGTCACAAGAGACTAGGGCCCTGCGGGACTTGACATCTTTCCGCAGGGCCTGCAAGACAGAGTTGTTCCACCAGGCCTTTGGCCAAGGCACAGCCTGACTCCCTCCTTTGGCAATCCTCACAGAACTTCTAGCCCAATGGTTGCCATTAATTTGATTGGAATTAATTTTATAATGAAATGATTTTAGAATGTTTTATCGTTTTACTGTTGTTAGCTGCTCTGAGCCCGGCTTTGGCTGGGGAGGGCGGGATATAAAGAAAATTTATTATTATTATTATTATTCTTGTTGTTGGCATCTGTCTGTCTCATGAGACAATGGAGTGTGCCTCCAGGGGTGACGTCAAACCACTGCATTAGCAGTACCAAAGTGACCTCCCTGGGGCACAAGCCTGGGCAGGTATATGGGGGTCCTGGGATGCTCAGATGACATGAACCCTGCCCCCCACTCAGTGGTCGCTGATGTGGTCCAAAGGAAAGCAGAGCAAGATGTTTGGCGCCATCTTGACTGCAGGAGGTGCTGGAAGGAGTCATTCAAGGCACCACCCAACCATCTTAGGGACTCCAGATTTGTGCAGAATTTACCCCTGAGCCTTTTTTCTCTCCCAAAGATGTCCCACAAGGCAGCAGAAGATTAGGGCCCAAGATTTCTTTCTCCTACTGTATATGAGCAACCTTCCCAGGTTGGCAAGCCCCACTTACCCCTCACTTCCCTCCCTGAGCATGTGCAGAGGCCACCTTCCTGGCTGTTGGAGCCACTCTTGGTCTTGTCCACCCAACATGCCGGAGCCTGCCTCCAGAGGAAGTCCCTAACTCATTGAGGGTTAGAGACCCATCAGCTACCTTCACCTGGTTTAGCCAGCCAGTCAAAGCCATTCCCAGGGTGTGGCCACTGTCACATGCTGACAGCTTCTAGGAGCCACAGGTGAGACTTGAGTCCAGGGTGGGGAGGACCAGAGGTGGACAAGCTACCCCAGAAGGAGCACAATGTGTCCCCTAATAATAATAATAATAATAATAATAATAATTTATTATTTATACCCTGCCCATCTGGCTGGGTGTCCCCAGCCACTCTGAGAGGCTTCCAACCGAATATTAAAAACAATACAGCATCAGACATTAAAAACTGCCTTCAGTTGTCTTTTAAAAGTAAAATAGTTGTTTATTGCCTTGACATCTGCTGGGAGGGCGTTCCACAGGGCAGGTACCACTACCAAGAAGGCCCTCTGCCTGGTTCCCTGTAACCTCACTTCTCACAGCGAGGGAACTGCCAGAAGGCCCTCGGCGCTGGACTTCAGTGTCTGGGCTGGATGATGGGGGTGGAGATGCTCCTTCAGGTATAGAGGACCGAGGCCATTTAGGGCTTTCAAGGTCAGCACCAACACTTTGAATTGTGCTCGGAAATGTACTGGGAGCCAATGAAAATCTTTCACCCAACAGAGGTGCCACCCCTCTCCCAACACCCCATACACCCCACACAGACATCCATTGGGGATTATTAAAAGAGCGGGGTGGAAGTGGCACAGAGCAGGGTAGGCTCAGGGAACACACCGGCCCCACTCCTCAGAGGCAAGAACCCAGTGACGGTTCTTGATGTTCCAGCCTTGCGAAAGAACAGTGTGCAGCTGTGGGTGGAAAAAGGGGCAGTAACTTTCCGAGGAGGCTAAAATGCCATGGGGCACGGCATTGGCGTCAGTCGGCCCCCTAAGCGTGATGGTGATGAGAGCGGCTCATCTGCAGCCTTGAAGATAACGCCGGATCTCTTCCACTCAGTTGCCATGGCATGCTTCTTACCGTTCCCCTTTGTTCAAACAGCTCCGTGGGTTATTTAAGATAACGGTTGATAAATCCCTGCGACCTGATTGGCTGGCTTTTCTCCTTTTTTTCCATTTCCTTTCTATTTATTTATTATTTTTGCTCGGCAATCTGCTTGTAACACACTCAGACAATAGTGAGTTTTATTTCTTCCTTTCTTCCGTAGCTGGAAATCAGTTGGCATCAAGAATTTAGGAGGGGGGCAGCGGCTCTACTGTTAGGCAAAGTGAAGCAATGGCCTCAGGCGGCGGGTGCTGGGGGAGGCAGCAGGCCCCTGGCCGATTTGCCAATCCCACGTTCCCCTTGGTTGGGAAACAGAGCTGTGTCTCTGTAGTTTAATACGTTTTTCTCTGTCTGCTTCATTGGATTGCGTCACTGGCTACTAGGGTGGCCTCTTCATTCCACGCATACTTAATTTTGGGAGCACTGCACAGCCAATTTGGGGGTGGCGTCACCCTGAGCTGGAGGAGAAAATCAGCCTTGGAGCAATCTGCTCATTAAACAAGGGTGTGTTTTTGCATTCGGCAAGATATTAGAATGGGGGTGGGGACAGTCATCTCATGAATCTGAGGGGCAGGGGACTGTTAAAACTAACGGACTAAAGGAGATGGTGACATTCACATGTTTAATCAGAGGAAAAAGTCATTGGACTCAGCTACACTAGTAAAGAAAAAGCATTTTACATGCATTACAACACTTGTGACACCAGATGGTGCTGTGGAGTTCCGTCTTTCACCAACGTGATTTTGTAAAGTTTACAACGCGTTTTGCTGATACGCTTTCTTGATGTGTCTAGATCTAGCCCCTTTAAACATTTGTTAAAGATTGGACTTTTTGTGTGAAAAAGAAAATTAAATAATGACATTTGGATTTGAGGATTGGAGGTGATGTTTGTTTGTAAAAAGTGGCTTTGTTGGATGTTACATTGGAGTGGATGATGTGAATATTACTTATCTATGGCAGAGAGATGAAGAATTGGAAGTCCTTTACCTTCTGAATTTTATCTCTCTCTCTCTCTCTCTCTCTCTCTCTCTCTCCCTTTTCTATTTCTATTTCTTTATTTTTCTCTTTCTTTAATTCTTTCTCTCCCCTCTTTATGTTTTTGTTGTATTTAGATCAAAGTCTTAGTCTGAACAACAAAAAAAGGAAAAGATATTTGATATAAAGTTTTGTATTTTTCTCTATAACCCCTAATTTATTTATTTATTTTTTAATGAATCTGAGTGGCACGAAATGCAAACCAGACAAATAAGAATGTAAGATGAGGTTGCTGGATCAGGCCAGTGGCTCAACTGGCCCAGCATCCTGTTCTCACATTGCCCAACCAGATGCCCGTGGAAAGCCTGTCCTAGGTGGACCTGACCTCTCCGCCCACCTGCGGTTCCCAGCAAGTGGTATTTAGAGGTATTCTGACAGTGGAGGTAGAACACAGCCATCATGGCTAAAGAGTCATCATTTCTCCCCAAGGATTACAGTCCTGAGAGAACTGAATAAAGATGCTCAGCAGCTCTGCTCATCTTCATGGCCACACCTTTAAAACACTCTTATACCACTTTTACTTCCTGTGCTTGTCAGGGCTGGGTTTAGGTTTGATGAGGCCCTGAGCTACTGAAGGTAATGGGGCCCTTTATATGTCCAGCTGTCCTTTGTCAACAACAAATGGTCACTGTTTTTTGTGCTGAATATATGCTGCATTGTAATATATGGACCTAATAGGTATCTCAAGCCATTTGCACATGCAGAATGTAGGCACCCTATATATAGAAAGGAGCAAACCAGTGATATTTTAGGGAGCAGGCTAGCCGGCGGGGCCCATGACTTACATCATAGGAGCCTACCCAACACAAAACACTGTTGCTGTATGTAGGTTTTATTTTAGTCATACCTCTTGTTACGTTTGCTTCATGTTACATTTTTTCAGGTTGCGTCCCGCGGTGACCCGGAAGTACCAGAAAGGGTTACGTCCGGGTTCCACCGCTTGCACATGCGCAGACGCGCAAAATGCTGTCACGCGCATGCACAGAAGTGATGAATCGTGACCCGCGCACATGCAGACATGGGTTGCATTCCTTTCATGTTGTGAACGGGGCTCCGGAACGGATCCCGTTTGCAACCAGAGGTACCACTTTATTTGGTTTTTATCTTATATTTTGGAAATGTACATCCAGGTTTTTTTCCTTTATATTTGGGGGGGGGGCCAAGAGACCGATGCCCTAAGCTATAGCTTGTTTAGCTTATACGTAAATCCAGCACTGAGGCCCTTCTCTATGTAGCTGCTCCCAGAGGGTGCCAATTAGAAAACAGCCCCTTTTTTTGTCGTGGTTCCTCAATTGTGGAATGCTCTCCCCAAAGAGGCTTATTTGGCACCATCATTACTTGTCTTTAGATGCCAGGCAAAACAAACAAACAAACAAAAAAATCTCTTTACCCAAACCTATGGTTATTAAGAAAAACCTATGGCCTTGAAAGTGTGGGAGAGAAGACTCTTATTATGATTATTATTTTACTATTAGGCTGTCTATCAGTATGCTTTTATTTTTTTTTATCATTGGTGTTTTGTAATGTGTTTCTAATGTTGTTGTTGTTTGTTTAGTCATGGACCAGAGCACACCAGACACTCCTGTCTTCCACTGCCTCCCACAGTTTGGTCAAACTCATGTTGGTAGCTTCGAGAACACTGTCCAACCATCTCGTCCTCTGTCGTCCCCTTCTCCTTGTGCCCTCCATCTTCCCCAACATCAGGGTCTTTTCCAGGGAGTCTTCTCTTCTCATGAGGTGGCCAGAGTATTGGAGCCTCAACTTCAGGATCTGTCCTTCCAGTGAGCACTCAGGACTGATTTCCTTCAGAATGGATCGGTTTGATCTTCTTGCAGTCCATGGGACTCTCAAGAGTCTCCTCCAGCACCATAATTCAAAAGCATCAATTATTTGGTGTTCGGCCTTCTTTATGGGCCAGCTCTCACTTCCATACATCACTACTAGGAAAAGCATAGCTTTAACTATACGGACCTTTGTCAGCAAGGTGATGTCTCTGCTTTTTAAGATGCTGTCTAGGTTTGACGTTGCTTTTCTCCCACCCTTCCTCCTCAGCCAAGATCAAAGCAAGGGAGAGATGGGAGATGGGATACAGGAAGCTTCCCTCCATCAGACCCTGCAGCCAAGCCTCAACTTCAGGATCTGTCCTTCCAGTGAGCACTCAGGGCTGATTTCCTTCAGAATGGATCGGTTTGATCTTCTTGCAGTCCATGGGACTCTCAAGAGTCTCCTCCAGCACCATAATTCAAAAGCATCCATTCTTCAGCGATCAGCCTTCTTTAATGTTGTGCACCGCTCTGATATCTTTTGATAAAGGGTGGTATATAAACTGAACTAATTGTTGTTTATTGCATGAAGAGCCCACCTTTTTCTCCACAGAGCTCCATGTAGTCTCCATGGTCCTCCCTCTTCCTCACTGAATCCCGACAACAACCTTGCGAGGTAGGTTTGGCCAAGAAGCAGTGACTGACATCCGAGGTCACCCAGTGAGAGCTTTGCGGCCAAGTGCAGATTTGAATCCTGGTCTCTCCCTGGCGCTATGCCACACTGGCTCCCTTAAGGGCACCACGAGTTGTTAGGAGACCCCTCCACGGAACTACAGTCCCCAACACCCTCAACAGCTCCTGAAATTCTTTGTAGGAAGCCCGCCCAGCACTTCCTGAGAACTGGTGCCCTTGTCCTCAGCTGACTTCCCTTCTTCTCCAGCTGCAGAGCTACAGCTGTTTCATATCCCTTCTGCCTTGGAAGGAGGAGAAATATTATCTTATCTTTCTCGCAATGGGATCTTTCTGTAACGGGAGGCTTTTTATTGCCGTTTAAAGAAACACAATAACATTCCTCTGAATATTAAGCATTTGAGATGGGGGTGCCTGTTCTGCTCCTGTTTTTTTCTTTTCTTCTCTTTCACCCGAAGTTTTGATCTAAAGCGAATGAGAAAACACGGTTTAAAATATGCTATAAAATAGATCTTTGTTTCCCACTATGTTTATGAAGGCAGCGGGGAAGCAATTTTCCCTGTCACCTGTAAACAGGAGATGGATGGCTTTGTTTCTCAGATGATAGTGATCTAAGGAGGGAGAATGGGAATCGCATCACTAAGGAAGGTCTTTATCAGTAAGCACTGATGTCTTACAAACCCTTTTTTAAAAAAAGAAAAACTCTTATTTCAGCTCACCAAACCAGCTAAATTCATCCAATACATTAACTCTTGAGCACCATACTATTTTCCACTCTGCAGATTCAGTGGGATCATAGAATCATAGCATTGCCTCTCCCAGTATGCCCCGTGGAGGACCTTAAGGTCCAAATAGCAACACCCTAGAGGTCCCGGGCCCTAAGGAAGTCAGATTAGCCTCAGCCAGAGCCAGGGCCTTTTCAACACTGGCTCTGGCCTGGTGGAACGCTCTGTCTCATGAAACCAGGGCCCTGCGGGATCTGATTTCTTTCCGCGGGGCCTGTAAGACAGAGTTGTTCCGCCTGGCCTTTGGCTTGGAATCAACTTGATCCCCTGCCCCTCTTTCCTTTTTCCTTTCTCCTTCTATGATGGAACTCCTATTTGGGGACTTCCCTGGCTTTTTTCTGGCCCACGTAGGACCAGTCTGGATCGTTGGCCTTGGTGAAGATTTGACGTTTTCATCCCCAAAGTTTTTGATTTGAGTTTCTACTAAAATAAGGCTGCATCTTAATGTTATATTTTAATCTTGTTTTTAAGTTGTATTTTAATCAATTGTTTTTATATCTGGTATTAGCCGCCCTGAGCCCAGTCTTAGCTGGGGAAGGCGGGGTGAAAATAAAATTTATTATTGTTGTTATTAATTATTATTGTAGTTGGGAAGGGACCCTGAGGGTCATTTAGTCCAACTCCCTGCAATGCAGGAATCTCAACTCAAGCATCCATGACAGATGGCCATCCAACCTCTGCAACTTCCTCTCCAGTGAAGAAGCCCTGTTGTTAGGTTTCCAAGGGGTTGCTCGAGAGCAAGCGGGCAAATACCTCCCTGCTCGGCCGTGAAGCCTTGCTTTTGATGCAAAATAAACTTTATCTGTCCAGAGCACTACTCTCCCGTGGCTGACTGGCTGGAGGAGGTTGGAACTTGGTCTGATCCACCAGGACTCTCCTTCTTGCATCCTTAAGGGTGACCCTGAGACCAACAGAGTGGAAAGCAGTTCTGAGCCACGGGACCCAATGTGCTGGGAGATTCTGCCTCCTAAACCCCATTGAAATGAAGGAGCAGAGTTGGCACACAGCAGAAGTGTTGCGGGGAAGGAAAGGATTTAATTTTGCTACTGAACGATTACTGAGCCACAGGAGAGCTGTAGCTCAGGGGTAGAGCAGATGCTTTCCCTGCTGAGGCTCCTGGGTTCGATTCCTGGCATCTCCACGTACAACTGGAAACGAACCTGCCTGACACTTTTGAGAGCCACTGCCTCTTAGGGTAGACAATACTGAGCTGGAGGGATGCAGGGTCTGAGGGAGGGAAGCTTCCTGTATCCCATCTCCCATCTCTCCCTTGCTTTGATCTTGGCTGAGGAGGAAGGGTGGGAGAAAAGCAATGTTAAACCTAGACAGCATCTTAAAAAACAGAGACATCACCTTGCTGACAAAGGTCCGTATAGTTAAAGCTATGCTTTTCCTAGTAGTGATGTATGGAAGTGAGAGCTGGCCCATAAAGAAGGCCGAACACCAAATAATTGATGCTTTTGAATTATGGTGCTGGAGGAGACTCTTGAGAGTTCCATGGACTGCAAGAAGATCAAACCTATCCATTCTGAAGGAAATCAGCCCTGAGTGCTCACTGGAACGACAGATCGTGAAGCTGAGGCTCCAGTACTTTGGTCACCTTGTGAGAAGAGAAGACTCCCTGGAAAAGACCCTGATGTTGGGAAAGATGGAGGGCACAAGGAGAAGGGGACGACAGAGGATGAGATGGTTGGACAGTGTTCTCGAAGCTACAAACATGAGTTTGACCAAACTGGGGGAGGCAGTGGAAGACAGGAGTGCCTGGCTTGCTCTGGTCCACGGGGTCACGAAGAGTCAGACACGACTAAACGACTAAACAACAAAGGAGGAAGGGTGGTCAAAGGGGACCCAGGATCTGCTTCCACAAAGCCGTACCTGATGCAATAAATCGAGGAAGGTGCCAGCATCCAGACCAGTCTAGCCACGCTAACAGAAAGTGCTCAAGCGGAATAAAGATCAATAATTCCGCCACAGAGGTGATTAGGAAAACGCCTTCTGGCAGCCGGGTTCCATTTAATTTAATTAGGGAGTCTGGCCACAAGGTTCCTAAAGGTTGGGCAGCAGAGGAGGAAGGGAAAGCGAGGGATTGTTTAGAGAGGAAAAAACAAGGTTGCTTCTAGTAGAGATTCCCCAGGAGGGAAGGAGCTCTGCTTCCACAGCTGGAAGCAGCAATGCTTGTGAAATTCTCGGGATCCCCTCTCTGGTCATGGATTCTCTTGTAACACTGGTTTCTGGGAACTGCAGGTGCAGAGAGGGCTCTTGTGCTCAGGTCCTGGCCCCTCTGAGAACAGGATGCTGGACTAGGTGGGCCATTGGGAGCTGGGTATATTTAGCTTGGAGAAGAGAAGACTTGAGTGGTGATATGATAGTCATCTTCAAATCTCTGAAGGGCTGTTGCATGGGAAATGGAGCAAGCCTGTTTTCTGCTGCTCCAGAGGGTAGAATCCATACCAACAGGTTCAAATTACAAGAAAGGACATTCTGAATAACAATTAGGAAGAGCTTTCTGATGGTAAGAACTGTTTGACAGTAGGACAGTAGGATGGACTCCCTCAGAAGGTGGTAGACCGGTGTCTCCTCCTCCTCCTCTTCTTGCTCCGGTGTCGCCTCACTTTACAGCGAGGCAGGAGGAGGGATGGGCAAGCAAAGTAAGAGCTGCACAAAGCGGGACAGAAACCATGTAAGCGGCTCTCACTTTGCTTGCTTTAAGGCAAGAAAAAAAGCAAGAAAAGCAAGTTCCGCTTACACGCTCTGCACAGAATATATTTTTTCTTGTTTTCCTCGTCTAAAAACTAGGTGCATCTTATGGAGGGGGAAATATGGTACTCAGCTGATAGACCTCTGGAGGAAATGGGAGGATCAGGAATTTGCTGGGGAAAGCAGGGAAGCAGTGTTGAGAAAGAGGGAGAGAGAGAATAGCTAGCATTTGTTGTTTAGTCCTTTATTCGTGTCCGACTCTTCTTGACCCCATGGACCAGGGCTAGCATGTACCCCCCCAAAGCCTGCCCATGGGGGAATTCTGAAAAATGTTCCCCACCCCAGGTGGGGGGTCTGGTATTCTTGGGGGCTACAATGACCCACCAGCCACTGCGGAGGCCTTCTAGTTGCAGGTCCTTGTGAGGGGCTCTGTCTCCTCTCTAAATGGCATCCTTCCAGCCTGTTTAACTGCAATGACAGCAGTTCAGGTCACCCAATCATTGCGGCCTTGTTGCCTAGGGAGATTATTATGATTTGGGGACTTTTTGCCTTGCAAACGACAGGGCCTTGAGTTATTTAAAGCAGTTAAGTAGGAAGTCGCCGGTGGATAATAAGAGCCCCGTTCAATCGGAGCTCATTTGAGGCATCGAGTTAAACTGTCCCTTGAATCAAAAGCTGCTTAGAGTACCCTTTGGAGGGGAGGAGGGAGGACTAATAATTGGCTCTCTTCATCAGATGGACATTTAAACTGTGCCAAGTTTAGCATGGAGGCTTGGACTGGGGAATTATTCCTTTTTCCACCCACCACCATTCCCAATTTGGCTTTGCATTCCGATGAAGTCTCTGTTGATTGCCTGGAGTTCCATCTTCCGACAGAAGGGTTGATTTATGAATGTGGACTGGACACTGTGGGAAAAGTTATATGCCACCTGGTAGGCAGGTGGTAGCCAAACCCTCTTGGTCTAAAGCTACTGGAGGTTGTGGAAGGAATTAAAAATATTTCTCCGTTTGGGCATCTTGGAGGCATGCAACCCCTTGAAGAAAGTTCAAATGTTCTTCAACCTTGACTTCCCTTGCTGGACTATAACTCCCATCGTCCCTGACCACTGGTTAAGCTGGCTGGGGCTGATGGATGTGAAATCTAACAACATCCAGGGAAGTTGTTAGACGGGATCTAGGGGTCTTAAAAGGTAAAGGTAAAGGGACCCCTGACCGTTAGGTCCAGTCATGGCTGACTCTGGGGTTGCGGCGCTCATCTCGCTGGTTCCCTCGGCATACAGCTTCCAGGTCATGTGGGCAGCATGACTAGGCCACACTTGGCGAACCAGAGCAGCGCACGGAAACGCCGTTTACCTTTCTGCTGGACCGGTACCTATTTATCTACTTGCACTTTGACGTGCTTTTGAACTGCTAGGTTGGCAAGAGCAGGGACCAAGCAACGGGAGCTCACCCTGTTGCGGGGATTCGAACCACCGACCTTCTGATTGGCAAGTCCTAGGCTCTGTGGTTTAACCCACAGCGCCATCCACATCTTAGTGGACCACAAGCTCAGCATGAGTCCACAGCAAAAAAGCTAATGCTATTCTAGGCTGCATCAACAGAAGTCTAGTGTCCAGATCAGGGGAAGCCATAGTACCACTCTGTTCTGCCTTGGTCAGACCACACCTGGAATACTGTGTCCAATTCTAGGCACCACAGTTTTAGAAGGATATTGACAAGCTGGAATGTGTGCAGAGGAGGGCGACCAAGATGGCCAAGGGTCTGGAAACCAAGCCTTAGGAGGAACGGTGGAGGAAGCTGGGTATGTTTAGCCTGGAAAAGAGGAGACCGAGAGGAGATATGAGAGCCATCTTCAAATATCTCAAGCACTGTCACTCGGAAGATGGAGCAAGTTTGTTTACTCCTGCTCTGGAGGGTAGGACTCGAACCAATGGGTTCAAGTTACAAGAAGGAGATTCCGACTAAACATCAGGAAGAACTTTCTGATGCTAAATGCTGTTTGACAGTGGAACAGTCTCCCTTGGGAGGTTGTGAACTCTCCTTCCTTGGAGGTTTTTAAGCAGAGGTTGGATGGCCATCTGCCATGGATGCTTTAGCTAAGATTCCTGCACTGCAATTCTATGATTTTAAGTTCCATTTAGTGGTCTTCATGATCAGCTGCCTAATCCTCATTTGGAGCCATCTAAGCCAGGGGTAGGCAACCTAGGGCCCATGGGCCGGATGCGGCCCCATCACCTTCTCAATCCGGCCCCCGGCTAGTCCGGGAATCAGTGTGTTTTTACATGAGTAGAATGTGTCCTTTTATTTAAAATGCATCTCTGGGTTACTTTTGGGGCATAGGAATTTGTTCATTCCCCCCCCCCAAAAAAAATATAGTCCTGGCCCCCACAAGCTCTGAGGGACGGTGGACCGGCCCCCGGCTCAAAAAGGTTGCTGGCCCCTGATCTAGGCTCATGGCCCCCCTTGCCTCTGCTGGCCATTGATTCCATTGTACTTTGAAGGAGCACTTGCCTCTTGAATATCCTTTGCATGTGGCTAAGAAAAAACAGAACAGGAATCTTGTAACTGCAGCTCTTGTGCAATGTTAATGAAACCTAATGGGATCTCGCTGTCCTCTAAACCTGTTCCCACCCAAGCGTTAAGTGAACATTCATTAAGGAGAGCTTCGGGAGTCCTTGCTTGGCTGAAAGAGATCTAGGTCCCTATCCGCACTTTATGCCGTTAAAGCAGTACCGTACCACTTTGAACAAGCATGGCTTCCCCAAAAGGATCCTGGGATCTGCAATTGGCTAAGGGTGCCAAAAGTTATTTGGAGACTCCTGTTGCACCCGCAGAGCTACAGTTCCCAGAGGGGTTTAACAGCCAATCGCTCTTCCCAGGGAACTGATCAGAACCCTGCTAATGATCCCCACCCCATTCCTGTCTCCTGGCACTGTCTCCCATTCAACCCCAGTGTTGCTGTATGGTTCCTACACCTGATGTTACCCAAACAGCATGTGATGGAGACGCGGGGACTCAGAAGGCAGCTACAGAATCAGTCCCTGCTTATGTGGCTCTTTGAGGTTCATGCAGTGAGTAGTAGGAAAGAAGGTAACTTTAATGGGAAGGCATAAGCCAGGGGTCAGCAAACTTTTTCAGCAGGGGGCCGGTCCACTGTCCTTCAGACCTTGTGGGGGGCTGGACTATTTTTTGGGGGGGGTGAACGAATTCCTATGCCCCACAAATAACCCAGAGATGCATTTTAAATAAAAGGACACATTCTACTCATGTAAAAACATGCTGGTTCCCAGACCGTCTGTGGGCCAGATTTAGAAGGCGATTGGGCCACATCCGGCCCCCAGGCCTTAGTTTGCCTACCCATGGCATAAGCCACAGGGGTCAGCAAGGTGTCGTGAGAGAGAGAGAGCACATGCACCCATGATTTCCAGTGTCTGCATCCACACAGATGCAATTTCTGGTGTCTGCATCTACGCAGACATGATTTTTGTCATCTGCACATGCGCAGTCGCAATTCCCGGCGCCACAGAAGCGAGTCCCCGTGCTGTGCTGCGCCAGTTTACTGCAGCACGAGGGGACTTACCAAGTGGGTGGCTCGGTTCAGGGGCGGTTCAGGGGCTGGTTAAATGACCCCCATGGTCCGCTTGTGGCCCATGGGCTTTAGGTTGCCTCCCCTGTTATAAGGCAACTCAGTTAAGTGTGACACAATGGTCAACTTCTTCCATGCTCTTTCAGGCTGCTGTCCAAGGATACTGAACTCCTTCAAAAGCCACCCTTGAGCTTTCTCATTCAAACTCAGGTGGGGACCTTTGCCAACCCTCCCAGGCAACCTTCTGGTGGCCTTACATCAGTGGTGGGCAGCCAGATGCAAGATGTGGGTGGAGCTGCAGATATGATTCTTTCCCTTTGTACCATCAGCTACATTTCAGACATGCAGAAGTTAGAGCTTTCTGTGTGTACACATTTGCCCATCATCCATCCAGGCACACAAGAGGCATTATCACAGTTAAAATACATATTCCAGCCAGGCAAAAAACACTCAGTGAGAGCTTGGAGCAAGGCTGGAGACAGGCATGACTTGGGGGAAAGTCCTGAGGGCCAGATCCAGAGCCCTAAAGGGCCACATTCAACCTGGGAGCCTCAGGGTCCCCACCTGCCGTTCTTGAAGAAGAATTCTGTGATGCTTGTGTGCTTTGCTGCCAGATCAGACTTGCCCTATGTTGCAGGAGAGTCGGGGCAAGGAAAGGCTGAGAGACAGGAAGGGGAAGGTCATTCCATAGCAAATAATAATAATAATAATAATAATAATAATAATAATAATAATTTATGCCCCGCTACTCTGGGCTGAGTTTCCCCAGCCACTCTGGGCGGCTTCCAATCAAGTGTTAAAAACAATACAGCATTAAATATTAAAAACTTCCCTAAACACCTAGTTGCTCCGACTGATAAGCAAACTTTGGCCAAAGGTCATGGCAGGGATGAAGGCATGGCACTTTTTCCAGCCTTCAGGTGCTGAGAGGCTTTGTTGCTGCTGCGTTTGGTCTCTCTACAGTTCCCTCCTTTGGCTGGAGCTGAGTGGTGGTCTGCAAACTGCCCCCCTTCCTGACATGCCTCAGGCCACCCATTCTGGTGGGTTTGAGTCCTGACACCCACCCACGCCAACGGAAGCAACTTCAGTGCTGGGAGTCACCCGCCTTTCAGTCTCTGAGTGGCACCTTAAACGCCTCATTCCAGCTTCTCGTAAGTTAATTTCTCCGCCCAGCAAAATGCAATCACAAATTTGCCGGCTGTGTTTGCCTTGTCTGTCTTGTTCTCCCAATTGCTGGATTCCCTTGGCTCTCCCCATTACTCTTAAAGCTGATGGATTTCAGTCCGAGGCGAGGGGTTCATTTGCTCAGTGCTAGGAACCTCTGCCGAAAGGAAGGAGAACAGAGACAAATCAAAGAGGAGCTGGACAAAAACCTTTAAGTTAAGAGTCCTCAGGATTGGGCTCAGTTCTGCAGCCGATCATTCCACACGCACACGCACACACCGCCTGCCCTGCAGCCTTCTGGAGTTTGAGTATTTACATTCCAGTGGAAAAACTTAGTCCTCTTCATCTTCAAAAAGATATTTGCCTTTGAACATCCAGCCTGCAGCTGATTCAAATCCAGAAGCTCAGCGGTGGATCATTACAACCATCTTGATCCCCCTTCTGATCTGCAGAATGTGTGTGTGTGTGTTTCCTGCAAATTGGTCAGCTCTCAGGTCCCATATACATTTTCTCACCCATCGGTCTAGGGTGTCAAAAAGTGCTCCAATGTCATGACTGCCTGTTGTGTGCATGTAGGTGATAGTGCAGAAATAGGATTTTTTTTTAACGTGTTATCTCAAGGATTTGAGGCACACCAAACTATTAAAATAAGGCTGCCTCAGTGTGAGAGGGAGAAAAGACACAGCAGAATGAAATACAGTGGTACCTCAGGTTCCAGACACTTCCGGTTACAGACTCCGCTAACCCAGAAATAGTACCTCACGTTAAGAACTTTGCTTCAGGATGAGAACATAAATAGTGTGGCAGCAGCAGGAGGCCCCGTTAGCTAAAGTGGTACCTCAGGTTAAGAACAGTTTCAGGTTAAGAACGGACCTCTGGAACTAATTAAGTTCTTAACCCAAGGTACCACTGTACACACATATCTACAAAACTGTGCATCTGATCAGATGATACTGAATCATATTAATGTCCCTGCTTCTCCTTCCACTCCTCCTGAAGACTAACTGCAGCTTTGGAAAGAGGGGATTGGAGACATGGAAATGATGTAATGAGGAGGGTTAAGCCCCACTCCCCTTATGTCACAACCCCAATCCAAATCAGAGCAAGGTACAGCTGATTTTCACGAAGGACAAAGACTTTGAGAGATCAGAAGATGGAGCACCCAAATCAATTCTAGGTTGACCCTAAACCGGGGCTGGGGAACCTTTGTCCTCCACAGATGTTCCTGAACTACAACTCCCATCAGTCCCAGCTAGCATAGCCAGTAGCTAGGGATGATGGGAGTTGTAGTCCAGCAGCTTCTGAAGGTAAGAGAAATCTGACTCACGTTTCTCTGCCATGACCTTGGCTTTACAAAGTCTTTCATTTCTTTTCTTTTACTTATCAGTCGTAGGGAAGTTGCCTTACAGCAGGTCAAACCTGCAGGCATCTGGTTGGCCACTGTGAGAACATGAGGCTGGACTAGATGGGCCATTGGCCTGATCCTGCAGGCTCTACTTATGTTCTTTATAGGCCAAAATCTGGTGCCCCAAAATAGATCTTCTCATTTATGGAGTTTCTTGATTTTGTGCCTCCTTAAATCCATCACTGGTTGTGCCTCACCTGGAGTCCCATTTCCAGCAAACATGCATTAAAGATGAATTTGGAGGTGCTTCATTCTGTACAGTACTTGTAGACTTTTCTCTTTATCTGCAGTCAACAGAGCATTATAACTTTTTACAACAATTAGCAATGAACGACGTTAATAAAAACTGAAAAATACAGAACTGTATTATTATTACTGCCACAGCTAATTTTTTAATCGCTTTCTAAACTACCGTCCCAAGGAGATTTACACATAAAATGATTTTTAAAAACCAGTTAAGAGAGCAAAAGCAAAACACACATTTAAAACCAAAGCAAAACTCCAAGAAGTTGACATTCATGGTAAAGGACCGTTTATCCAGCTGTAATGCTAAACTATATGCATCTATAAATCAGGCGATCCTTAATCGTCTAATATGGATGGCCATATTCAAAAACATTGTCACTCTTTCTGTGACTGACTTATTGGAGCCCTGAAGCAAAGTGGTCATAAGAGACTCAAAGGAGCAGCCAGGGAGGGACTGAATAATGGGATATATTAAATCTTCCCCAGCCCCTTGATAAAAACTACAGTTTAAAAGGGACGCGCAGGAGAGACTCAAAGTGAGCTTTGTTACAAGGGCAGCGTCTGTTGATCACTGGGGTTTTATTGCCTCTGCCGTCTAGTAAATTAGGAGGGAGAACATTAAAACTTGCCAAAGAAAAGGGCTTTCCTGTGTTTAGAGGTAGTTAACCATCCCAAGTGTACCATTCCATCTTTGCAGGGGAGACAAAGTAACACCAGCGACTGAAGGGGAACAGGATTCCCATACAGTTCTTTGAAACTCTTGAAAATCCAAATCCAGTAGCCTCTGTTTTCAGGGGTCAGCAAACTTTCAGCAGGGCGCCAGTCCACTGTCCCTCAGACCTTGTGGGGGGCCGGACTATATTTTGAAGAAGAAAAAAATGAACACATTCCTGTGCCCCACAAATAACCCAGAGATGCATTTTAAATAAAAGGACACATTCCACTCATATAAAAACATGCTGATTCCCGGACCGTCCATGGGCCGGATTTAGAAGGCGATTGGGCCGGATCCGCCCCCCGGGCCTTAGTTTGCCTACCTATGATTTAAATCATCAGCAGGGGATTCCCACACAGCAGGGTTAATTAATGTTTGCAGCCTTCTTGTCATGTTCACAGGCATCTTTGTAATACAGAGTTGGTCTGCCAACAGGCCTGGTGCCTGCAGCCAGCTCCCCCAAAGGCAGACCATTGGTCAGTCTAGCTCAGTGTTAACTCCGCTGTCTGGCCATGGCTCTGCAGGGTTTTCAGGCAGGAGTCTGTCCAAGCTGTACCCGGGGATGCCAGGGATTGAACTTGCAACCTTCTACAAAGCAGATGCTCTACCCCTGAGCTGTCAGCAACTTCTAACCCGAAGGCCCAGAGAAGTCAAAACAAGACTGTGTCCATGAATACAGCCTTGAAACTCCTTTTTATTCCCAGAAGATGTTGAGAGGTAGAATTCACATAAGGAGCCAGATGTTGTTGGCATCCGTCTGTCTCAGGAGACAATGGAATAGTGTGCCTTGGGGGTGAGGTCAAGGCTGCAGTGTGCCTGCTGTGGCTGTAGAGACCGATACAGGAGAGACATGTTTTGTTGCAGCTGGGGCAGATGAAGGCATCCAGTTGTGTTGCTGGCATTTCTTCTCTCCACGGTCTTCCCAGCAGTCGTTTCTGCTCTGGTCGCTGCTGTTGATACACGACTTGACTGCCTGTCTCTGGGCACTGTAGTCATACGCGAGGGATTCCCAAATGGCAGAGTTGATGTTGCCAGCCTTTGTGTCATGTGTGCAGACATCTTTGTAATGCAAAGCAGGCCTGCCAATTGGCCTGGTGCCAGATGCCAGCTCCCCTTGGGGATCCTGCCATCTTCTATTCAATGGGCATGACCAGGCCAGATTAGGTGTTGCTAAGACAGAATGTGGGCTTGGGAGAACACATCTTTGTTTGAGACTCTGTCCTGCCATAAGGTAAAGGAACCTATGACCATTAGGTCCAGTCGTGACCGACTCTGGGGTTGCGGTGCTCATCTCGCTTTATTGGCCAAGGGAGCTGGCATACAGCTTCCGGGTCATGTGGCCAGCATGACTAAGCCACTTCTAGCGAACCAGAGCAGCGCATGGAAATGCCGTTTACCTTCCCGCCGGAGCGGTACCTACTTGCACTTTGACGTGCTTTTGAACTGCTAGGTGGGCAGGAGCAGGGACCGAGCAACGGGAGCTCACCCCATCGCGGGGATTCGAACCGCCGACCTTCTGATCAGCAAGTCCTAGGCTCTATGGTTTAACCCACAGTCCTGCCATATGATGCCCCAAATCTTCCTGATGCAGCACATATGGAAGGCATTGAGGCATCGCTCCTGGCAGGTATAAGTTGCCCATGACTCACTTCCATAAAGCAGCATGCTCAACACGAAAGCCCAGTAGACCTTCATTTTGGTATTGGTTGTTAGCATCACATTCTCCCAACCCATTTGGAGAGGCAAGCAATTGCCATAGCTGCCTTGCCAATACATTTCTCCAGCTCAGTGTCGATGGAAAGGTTCACATCTTTGTTGTTGTTTAGTCGTTTAGTCATGTCTGACTCTTCATGACCCCATGGACCAGAGTATGCCAGGCACTCCTGTCTCCCACTGCCTCCCGCAGTTTGGTCAAACTCATGCTGGTAGCTTCGAGAACACTGTCCAACCATCTCGTCCTCCGTCATCCCCTTCTCCTTGTACCCTCCATCTTTCCCAACATCAGGGTCTTTTCCAGGGAGTCTTCTCTTCTCATGAGGTGGCCAAAGTCTTGGAGCCTCAGCTTCAGGATCTGTTCTTCCAGTGAGAACTCAGGGCTGATTTTCTTCAGAATGGATAGGTTTGATCTTCTCGCAGTCCATGGGACTCTCAAGAGTCTCCTCCAGCCTTAATTCAAAAGCATCAATTCTTTGGCGATCAGCCTTCTTTATGGTCCAGCTCTCACTTCCATACATCACTACTGGGAAAACCATAGCTTTAACTATACAGACCTTTGTTGGCAAGGTGATGCCTCTGCTTTTTAATATGCCGTCTAGGTTTGTTTTTGTCCATGGAGTTTTCTTGGCAGAGATAATGGAGTGGCTTGCTGGTTCCTGCTCCAGGTGGATCACATTTAGTCAAAACTATGACCTGTCTGTCTTGGGTGGCCCTGCATGGCATAGCTCATAGCTTTTCTGAGTAATTCAAGCCCCTTCACCACAATAAGGCAGTGATCCATGAATAATCTTTATTTAAAGAGGACTGCCTCTTTCCATATGAACCTACCCGGACCCTGAGATCATCTTCTGAGGCCCTCCTTCGTGTGTCTCCTCCTCCAGAGGTCCGGAGGGTGGCAACACGAGAACAGGGCCTTCTCTGCAGTGGCTCCCTGTCTGTGGAACGCTCTCCCCAGGGAATTTTTCCTGGCGCCTTCATTATATACCTTTAGGCGCCAGGCAAAAACGTTCCTTTTTAACCAGGCTTTTGGTTGATCCGATTTACATCCTTTTAAAATGTGTTTTTTTGTGGGGGGGTATTGGGTTGCTTTTTAATTTTTATTAGGTATTTTGTGGTTTTATATCTTGATTTTATTCTGTGAACTGCCCTGAGACCCCTGGGTATACCTTTTTATGGTGAGATCTGTGCTGGAAACATTTGGGAAGTGCAAAAACTGGTGGAAAGTTAACTTCTGATCCACGCCTGAACTGTGGAGGTGCAGATCAGGTTGGCTCATATCAGGATTCATGAACGGCCAATTCCTCACACATCCCTGGATCTAATCCTCTCTAGCATCGCGGCGGAAGACACCTCTGCTCCCCTGCGCACATCACCTTGACGCTGGTTGCCGCTAACCGCTGTCTGTTCCCCACCTGCCTTCCCGGAGCAGGATGGAGAAAATTAAGGTTTCCATTTAAGTGAGCATGCGGTAGTAATGCGAACTGAAAGAATTCTGAGGCAAGCCAGCCTTGGGTTGATCCTTTTAAACTGGTGTAATAGCTCACTGCCGTTTCTTGGGGAATAAACGTCATCTGCAATGAAGCTGTGGCATTCTCTTTGCCTTCGAGCCCAGTAGTGAGAGCGGGAGCCAAGCACAGGTATTCTTAGTGGGAGACACACACCACTGCGATGAAAATGGGAGCAACCTATTCTGTAACCTCCAACATTTCTCCGATGGAAATAGGGACATCCTAAGGAAAAGGGACACAGGTGGCGCTGTGGGTTAAACCACAGAGCCTAGGACTTGCCGATCAGAAGGTCGGCGGTTCAAATCCCCGCGACGGAGTGAGCTCCCGTTGTTTGGTCCCTGCTCCTGCCAACCTAGCAGTTCGAAAGCACGTCAAAGTGCAAGTAGATAAATAGGTACCACTCCGGCAGGAAGGTAAACGGCGTTTCCATGCACTGCTCTGGTTCGCCAGAAGCGGCTTAGTCATGCTGGCTGCATGACCCGGAAGCTGTACACCGGCTCCCTCAGCCAGTAAAGCGAGATGAGCGCCGCAACCCCAGAGTCAGCCACGACTGGACCTAATGGTCAGGGGTACCTTTACCTTTACCTTTAAGGAAAAGAGGGATATTCCAGGATTAAATCAGAAACCGTAAATCCGGGACTGCCCCTGGAAAATAGGGACACTTGGAGGGTTTGTTGACAGACCCAGTATACCTGTAGGAGCGTCTCCACCCCCATCGTTCTGCCCAGACACTGAGGTCCAGCTCCGAGGGCCTTCTGGCGGTTCCCTCCATGAGAGAAGTGAGGTTACAGGGAACCAGGCAGAGGCCTTCTCAGTGGTGGCACCTGCCTTATGGAGTGGTCTCCCATCAGATGTCAAGGAGATAAACAACTTAATTTTTAGAAGACATCTGAAGGCATCCCTGTTTAGGGAAGTTTTTAATGAGTGATATTTTAATGTATTTTTAATCTTTTGTTGGAAGCCGCCCAGAGTGGCTGGGGAAACCCAGCCAGATGGGCAGGGTATAAATAAGTTGTTGTTGTTGTTGTTGTCTGTCCCATAATACTAGAATGTACAGTCACCCGACAACTGCATTACTGCAATGCACTCTATGTGGGGTTTCCCTTGTGTTTGATCAGGAAGCTGCAGTTAGTGCAGAATGCTGCAGCACAATTGCTGACAGGCCTGGGGGCTTGTCAGAATATAATGCCTGCACTGGTTGCTGATTCAAGGGGTCACTGTTACTACTATAAGTCCCACTATAAGAGCCAGTGTGGTGACGGGGTGAGTTTGGTCCCTGCTCCTGCCACCCTAGCAGTTCGAAAGCACATCAAAGTGCAAGTAGATAAATAGGTACCACTCTGACGGGAAGGTAAATGGCGTTTCTGTGTGCTGCTCTGCTTCTCCAGAAGCGGCTTAGTCATGCTGGCCACATGACCCGGAAGCTGTACACCGGCTCCCTTGGCCAATAAAGCAAGATGAGCCCTGCAACCCCAGAGTCGGCCACAACTAAACCTAATGGCAGAGGTCCCTTTACCTTTACCTTTACTATGGTTTCCAACAACGGATATTCAAAAGCCTTACTGCCTCTTAGTGGTTAAGAGCAGCGTAGTGGTTAAGAGCAGTGGACTCGTAATCTGGTGAACCGGGTTCGCGTCTCCACTCCTCCACATTCAGCTGCTGGGTGACCTTGGGCTCGTCACACTTCTCTGAAGTCTCTCAGCCCCACTCACCTCACAGACTGTTTGTTGTGGGGGAGGAAGGGAAAGGAGACTGTTAGCCGCTTTGAGACTCCTTTGGGTAGTGATAAAGCGGGATATCAAATCCAAACTCTTCTTCCTTAGCAACTTGGGACCAGTTAACCCACATCACTCGAGCACTTTGATCAGCAGAATTGGCACTATTACAGGCTCTGCTTAATGCCCGTTCCACATTTGTAAGAACTCGATTGTTCAGTGTGGTAATGTCTGCCCTTTGGAACTCCCTGCCTATTGATCTCAAGCAGGTGCCTTCACTCTGCTCTTTTCAGCACCTGCTAAAAGCATTCTTGTTCAAATAAGTCAATCTGGATGCTTTGAAAGTGGAGGTCATTTAAATTTGTTTTCACTTTGGTATGTTTTAAAGTATGGTTGTGCTTTTCTCTTGATTCTATTGTCTTATCTTTTTGTAAATCTCTTTGAGAGTTTGTTTTAATAAATAAACATCAATAAACAAACAAAAACAACATAAATTGGCATCACATTCAAGACACACAGATCACAAACTTCCTTTGCACGAAGCATAATTAACTTATGCCAATAATTGCCCCCAAATCCTGTAACAACTTTGATGGGTTTTGACCAAAGAGCTAGCCACATTCATGGAATCTAATTCTGTTCCTGGACACCTGCCATAATAGTTCCTTATTTATCTATTTCTAGAAATATTTCTATTCTGCTCATTCATAACGAAAATATCAAGCAACCGCCTGTCATGAATTCATCAGGATCAGACCACAAATACACCCGCTCACCACCATAAGGCATATATATATTTGTGAAAATAATATGCACAAATGCATTGTATTTGGGGGAATTGCTAGCAAGAATGGGTAGCCCATTCAAAACTGGATTTCTTTAAAAATGTGTTTATTAGGAGAAATCCTAAAATGCAAGTGAATTTGCATAAGGCTTTTTTTTAAACAAAGAAACAAAAACTGCAGATTTCCGCAGAAATGTGGAGGGCTTAATTTAAGATCAGAAGAATGAGAAACAGGGAGGACTGAAATTGAGAGAGCTGTCCATTCCTGAGCAGAACCACATGTTCAGATTGCGGACTGCGTTCATCCAGAGGCTGCCAGCCTTCTTCTGAGCTTTCATCAAACTGCCATTCCAAATTCTTTGGCAGGGCAAGGGACTTAATCCGTTACATAAGGATGCGCTTGGCAAAGGGGAGGGCTGCCTTTGCCACGCAGGGAAGGGAGAAGGCCAACAGCTCAGGGTACTGAAGCGCATTCCGGATCGCCGGCGTTGACCTAGTTTGTCGCCAGTGACAAATTGTGACAATCAATGTAATTGCGAGCATTATTGCATTCTCTGCAAACCGATCCCATCATTAAGACAAATGAGTCCAGGAATGCTGAGTCATGTCACGCTTTCGGAACTGCAGCAAGCCGGTTCATTGGAGAGGATTGGGGAGTGGGGGGGGGAGAGAGAGAAATAGAAGAAGTGGCCCCCTCTTTAAATGGCATCATCACTGCCATCATCAGGGCCCCGATCCTGCCCAGCCCAAAAGTCACCTTATAATTACTTGGAACGCAGCATCTCTAGGAATTGCTTGGAAGCTTGAAGAATTCAGGCTCTTTCCCTTTCTCTTGTTTAGCGTAATTTTGATAAATCACTGGCTTTCATTAGATTAGGACTCTTGGGCAATACCGTTGGAAGGGGTCCCCAAGGGCTGTGTAGTCCAACCCCCTATAATGCAGTAATCACAGCTGAAGAATCCCAGGCAGATGGGTCATCCAAGCTCTGCTTAAAATCCTTAAAATAAGGAGGGTCCACCACCTCCTGGGGGAGACCATTCCACTATCAAACAGCTCTTACTGTCAGAAAGTTCTTCTTGATGTTGAGTCGGAATCTCACTTATGAAGGAGCGTCTCCACCTCCATCGTTCAGCCCGGACACTGAGGTCCAGCTCTGAGGGCCTTCTGGCGGTTCCCTCCCTGAGAGAAGTAAGGTTGCAGGGAACCAGGCAGAGGGCCTTCTCGGTGGTGGCACCCGCCCTGTGGATCGCCCTCCCACTAGATGCCAAAGAGATAAACAACTACCTGACATTTAGAAGACATCTGAAGGCAGCCCTGTTCAGGGGAGTTTTTAATGTGTGACATTTTAATGTATTTTTAATCTTTGTTGGAAGCCGCCCAGAGTGGCTGGGGAGGCCCAGCCAGATGGGCAGGGTGCAAATAATAATAATATGTTGTTGTTGTTGTTGTTGTTGTTGTTGTTGTTGTTGTTGTTGTTGTACCTTGAAGCCCTTGGTTCATGTTGTGACTTCTGGAACAGCAGAAAACAAGTTTGCCCCACTGCCCTCTTGGCTGTACATTGAATCTGGGTTGGTTTGTTTTTTTTACCCTAATTAAACATTAGTCTCACCTCTGGATCTGAGACGGGGCAGCTGGTCCCCAAGTTGGATAGGGGTGGATCCAATGGCGTTGCAATGGGGGGATCGGTGCACCCTGGGTTCTATGTCTGCAGGGGTGACAAGAAGTCACCCTGCAGGGGCTCGCGGCAGCATAAGCAGCCATTGCACCGCCACAGCCACGTGTGGAGAATCCTCTGTTCGCAGTTTCAGCCGCGAGCAGAGGATCCTGGCGCAGATGGCAAAGCGCTAAGTTCAATAGCGACGCTGCACATGCGCTGTGTAGCAGTTTGCTGCCTGCGCCACTCCAGCGCCATACGGACGGTGCCGGGATCCTCTGCTTGTGGCTGTAGCAGTGACAGAGGGATCCTGGCACCATTCGTATGGCGCTGGAGCGGCGCCAGCAGCAAACCGCTATACAGTCATACCCTGGGTTACAGACGCTTCAGGTTGCGTTTTTTCAGGTTGCAGACCACCGAAACCTGGAAATACCAGAATTGGTTACTTCTGGGTTTCGGCAGTCGTGCATGCGCAGAAGCACTAAATGACACTTTGCACATGCGGAGAAGCGCCAAATCGCAACCTGCCCCTTTGCACAGATGCACCACTGCGGGTTGCGGATGATGCAGGTTGTGAACGTGCATCCCGCATGGATCACGTTTGCAACCCGAGTGTCCACTGTACAGCATCGCTACGTACAGCGCATGCGTCATACGTAGCGGCGCCACACATTCTCTGATGAAAACAATAATAATAATAATTTTTATTTTTTTTAATACCCCGCCCTTCCTGGTTCAAAAACCGGGCTCAGGGCGGCTAACAACAAATTTAAAACACTTGTAAAAGCAGCATAAAATACAGTATAAAAACATTAATAACAATAAAATTCAAAATTCAGAAATCAATTTAGGGGAAATAAGCATTAGATAATCCCCAGGGCTAGCTGGCTGAATTGGTCCTACTTGGGCCAGTGAGGAGGCCAGGGGAGAATTAGCTGTGGGGTCTCAGAGCGGGTAATCTTCATAAAAGGGGAGGGGGAGGGAAGAGAAGGGAAATAAAAGATCAGGCTGAATTAAAAGTAAAGGCCAGGCGGAATAGCTCTGTCTTACAGGCCCGACGGAAGGAGGTTAAATCCTGCAGGGCCCTGGTCTCATGGGACAGAGCATTCCACCAGGTCGGAGCCATCACTGAGAAGGCCCTGGCCCTGGTGGAGGATAGTCTGACTTCCTTAGGGCCCGGGACCTCTAAACTATGGTTATTCATGGACCTTAAGGTCCTCTGCGGGGCATACCAGGAGAGGTGGTCCCGTACATATGAGGGCCCTAAGCCACAAATAAGGACGTTGTAAGGGAAAGTGGGACATTCAGGGATCAAATCAGAAACCGGGACGGCTTCTGGAAAATAGGGGCACATGGAGGGTCTGCCATCATGCCCTGGTTACATAGATCAGCATCCTTCTCCTGTGCCAGCCCGTTTTAAAAGGTCTTGGTTAGGCAGCGTCCTCGGTCACACTCTTGGGAACGGTAATTTAGACTTTAAAACGGGCTGCAATCTGAATGTTAAGCGTTCGCTTCCCCTCTTCCATGCTCCATTAAACATACTTTGCGAGTCCAAAAGGAAAACAAAACTCTATTCGTGTTGGAGGGAGGGAGATTGGAAGCCTGTTTCACGCTGGCTCCTGCCGCCTAAGGCTGCCCCCCTCCTCCCTGAGAGCCAAATGCAGGTATTGGGCCAGGTGTGTCCCAGGTGAGTAGAGAGCAGCCCTTATTACAAACTCATATACCTGTAGGTTTAATACTCATAAAGGAGCAAGGGATTATGCGCCTTTTGATGATGCTGTAGCGACTTAATCTTCTGTAGTGGGAAAGGAAGCTTATACTTGCGAAACCTGAGGTGCCCATTGATTGATTGCAGCTGCTGAAATGTTCCATTTTATATTTTATCTTTGCGTCAAAGCTCCCAAAGACCGTTTGAAAATAACAGTAATAATAACGAGGGGAGGCAAGAGAGGAAGACAGTTGCTTTAGGTGCTTTTAGGAAAGGAATCTGCAGCCAAGACTGAAGGCAGACAAAGGGAAGGATCTCTCTCTCTCTCTACATGCAGCAGTGTAGTGTAGTGTAGTGGTTAGAGTGCTGGACTAGGACCTGAGAGACCAAGGTTCAAAGCCCCACTTGGATGTGAAGCTCACTGAGGCCATTCGCTCACTCACTCTCAGCCAAACCTACCGCACAGGGTTGTTGCAAGGATAAAAATGAGGCAGGGCATCTGTAGGCGTTATCAATCAATTAAAAAAAATTGACTGCCACAAGATGTGGTGATGGCTGGGCTTACGTGGTTTTACTAGTGGAATTAGACCAGGCATAGGCAAACTCGGCCCTCCAGATGTTTTGGGACTACAACTCCCATCATCCCTAGCTAACAGGACCAGTGGTCAGGGATGATGGGAATTGTAGTCCCAAAACATCTGGAGGGCCAAGTTTGGGGATGTCTGAGTTAGACAGTGAGGGAGGAGAAGGAGATTGAGTGCTGTTGTGCTCAGATCCTGTTTGCTGGTTTCCCACAGGCATAGGATCATAGAGTTGCAGAGTTTTAGAGTTGGAAGGGACTCCAAGGGTCATCTAGTCTCAACTGAATCATCCATGACAGATGGCCATCCAACCTCTGCTTAAAAACATCCAAGCAAGGAGAGTCCGCAACTTCCTGAGGGAGTCTGTTCCACTGTTGAACTGCTCTTGCTGTCAGAAAGTTCTTCCTGATGTTTAGTTGAAATCTCCTTTCTTTAACTTGAATCCATTGATTTGGGTCCTACCCTCCAGAGTAGGAGAAAACAAGCTTGCTCCATCTTCCATGGGACAGCCCTTGAGATATTTGAAGATGGCTCTCACATCTCCTCTCAGTCTCCTCTTTTCCAGGCTAAACATACCCAGCTCCTTCAACCGTCCCTCATCAGGTTTTGTTTCCAGACTCCTGATCATTTAGAACAAGATGCTGGACTAAATGGGCCATTGGCTTGACCCAGCAGTCTCTTCTTATGTTCTTTTGGTGTATACTGTTGGTGTTGGTGCTGACCTTTAAAGCCCTAAACAACCTTGGTCCGGTATACCTGAAGGAGTGTCTCCACCCCCATCGTTCTGCCCGGACACTGAGGTCCAGCGCCAAGGGCCTTCTGGTGGTTCCCTCACTGCGAGAAGCCAAGTTACAGGGAACCAGGCAGAGGGTCTTCTCGGTTGTGGCACCCGCCCTATGGAACGCCCTCCCACCAGATGTCAAAGAAAAGAATAACTACCAGACTTTTAGAAGACATCTGAAGGCAGCCCTCTTTAGGGAAGCTTTTCATGTTTAACAGACTACTGTATTTTAATACTTTGTTGGAAGCTGCCCAGAGTGGCTGTGGAAACCCAGCCAAATGGATGGGGTATAAATAATAAATTATTATTATTATTATTACAACTCAACCCACAGACTCAAAGTTGATCAGTGCTGTCCTACAGCAATGTTCTTCAACCTTGGGTCAGCAGTGGGGCGGCGCACCCAGGGGTGGGGCGATCTGCCTATAGGGGTGGGGCGATGGTGGGGAAAGCCACCCGTAGGGGTGGGGCACATAACGAGGCCTCCTGCCTGCCTCCTCCCACTCAGCCGCCCTACAGCTGGGGGGGGCAGCGGGCTGACAGTTTGGGCAGCCTGGAGCCTGGGTGCGCCCAAGCCACCACATCTCTCCCAGGAGAGATACGTGGCTCAGGCGTGCTGTGAATGCTGCCCACCATTTCGTCACCCCCATCAGTGGTGACACCCGGGGCAGACCGCACCCCCCCTTCCTCCGCCCCTGCCTTGGGTCCCTAGACATTGCAGTATCACAACTGCCATCACCTCCAGTCAGCTTAGCCAATGATCTGGGATGATGGGAGTTGTAATCCCAATAGCATCTAGTGATCTGAGAACAAATAACACTGTCCTATAGGTTAGGTCCAGTCGTGGCCGACTCTGGGGTTGCGGCGCTCATCTTGCTTTATTGGCCGAGGGAGTGGGCGTACAGCTTCCGGGTCATGTGGCCAGCATGACTAAGCCACTTCTGGTGAACCAGAGCAGCACACAGAAATGCCATTTACCTTCCTGCCGGAGCGGTACCTATTTATCTACTTGCATTTTGATGTGCTTTCGAACTGCTAGGTTGGCAGGAGCAGGGACCGAGCAACGGGAGCTCACCCCGTCGCGGGGATTCGAACCACCGACCTTCTGATCAGCAAATCCTAGGCTCTGTGGCCCTAATAAGTCTTCATTTCCACTCCCTGTCTCTGCTTCCAATCTCAGCAGAAAAGCAGAGCCGGTATCTTCAGAATAACTTCCTCTCCTCCCCATTCAAGTCTGGCGGGGGGGAACGTTCGCCTGTGAGCCTCGCCAAAATCTATCAAGAAATAAAGCTATTGCTTCTGGGTCAGCCACCCACCCCCTGCCCTCCCCAATTCATTATTCCAGAGTGGCCCCTTGGCTGGATGCCAAAAATAACTGGAACTGTGAATCAGCTTGCACCATTCTTCATACAAACAAATAAATCACCAATGCGGAGAGAATTGTGGGATGAAAAGGAGTTGTTTATGGAAATGCAAAACCCTCCTCTCATCCAAGCTTTCCTGGTACACAACCTCCAGCTCGACAGCAACTGTATTGCACAAGTTGCACTGAGGTTGGTAGAGGTCAGCTCCCCCTTCCCATTAGTTAACAAAAACAGCTGGATGTAATTATTGAGTATTATTTTCAGGGAGGAAAGGCTTTCAATGGCTAGTAGCCATGATGGCTATGCTCTGTTTCCACGGTCAAAGGCAGTCATGCTTCAGAGTTCTTCTTCTTCTTCTTCTTCTTCTTCTTCTTCTTCTTCTTCTTCAGCAGTCACTTATAGCTGAATAAGATTGTCTTCCATAAATTCAGTTTTAACAGTGAGTCCGTAAGTGACTGTGGAGGCCAATTCTGGATCCACACGTCCGTCCACAGTGGGGACATAGATTTCCGGGTGGGAGTTGATCATGGTGAGGGTTTGCCAAGTGTGCCTTCCTCTTAGCACATTCCTCCCTTTTGTCCTGAGTTTGAGTGTCTTCAAAACCCATGACACCTTTGGTAAAGGCTGTTCTCCAACTGGAGCGCTCACAGGCCAGTGTTTCCCAGTTGTCAATATTTATACTACATTTTTAAAAGATTTGCCTTGAGAGAGTCTTTGAACCTCTTTTGTTGACCACCAGCAATACGTTTTGCATTTTTAAGTTTGGAATAGAGTATACCTGAAGGAGCGTCTCCACCCCCATCGTCCAACCCGGACACTGAGGTCCAGCACCGAGGGCCTTCTGGCAGTTCCCTTCCTATGAGAAATGAAGTTACAGGGAACCAGGCAGGGGGCCTTCTTGGTAGTGGAACACCCTCCCATCAGATGTCAAAGAAATAAACAACTATATGACATTTAGAAGACATCTGAAGGCAGCCCTATTTAGGGAAGTTTTTAACGACTGATGTTTTAATGTATTTTTACCTTCTGTTGGAAACCGCCCAGAGTAGCTGGGGAAACCCAGCCAGATGGGCTGAGTAGAAATAATAAATTGTTGTTGTTGTGTTGTTGTTGCTTTGGAAGCCGATAATCAGTCATCCACACAACATGACCAGTCCAGCGAAGTTAGCGCTTTGACAATGGTGATCTTTGCTTCTGTGATAAGAATTGTAAGGTCTTAGATATACAATAAATGGACCAACCAAGCAAGTACATAGATCAGCACAGGAAGACCGACCTGAAACCATTTTTGATTCCCAAACTGACCAAGTGTTTTCTCTGCAAGGTCAAAGGAAAATGGAAAAGCCTCCTCATTGTCTTTTCTTTCACAAATCCTGTCTTAAGGGTATGTCTGTGTTTGAATAGGGTGAGCCTGTGACCTGACTCAGGAACTAAGTATTTATCATTACTAAGTATTTATCATTACAAAAGACTGGACGCCGTTGGTGGAATCTTCTGAGTAGTTGGAGATGGTGTTTATAAGTGGTCCACGTTTCACAAGCATACCATAAGGACATTCGCAGGGAAACCAACATGCTTGTTTACAAAGCTATTGTACTACCAGCCTTCCTGTATGCTTGCTTCAGAGTACCTGCTCTTGTGCTCAGATCCTGCTCCCTGGTTTTCCACAGGCATCTAGCTGGCCACTGTGAGAATGTGATGCTGGACCAGGTGGGCCATTGGCCTGATCCAGCAGCCTCTCTTTATGTTTTTAAGTGAGATAGATTGGTCCTTTATCAAACAAGAGCCCTGTGCTAGGGCCTTGCGCCAATGTGTTTTCCATTCAAATTTATTT